AATGTTTATCACTAAAAGTCTGAATTCAAAAACTATATGTATGTATAAATTATATATGTGTATAAAGAAAGGTTGTTTGAAGGGGTGGGAGAATGAAATATATGGAGATGACGAACAGTTTTCAGGATCAAAAAACCATAAAACAATATAAAATAGGCGCAGAGTGAACACAGACCTCCAAAACATCAGAGGTGGGATCAGGTGCATGGAGGGGTGAGTATCCCCTGCAGATCCGTCACACACGCCGTGTGCTCCTTGTCATGATCGGGAAATAAAGGAAAATTCCGTAGTCAATACAGTGTGTTTATATGGACTTACAATTAGTATGAAAAACGTCAGTTAGCTTTTGACTCAGTGATAACGTTTATATTTGATGAAAAGGCCATTGTATCAACCATACAACTAACGAAATGATGACTTTAAACGAGAATGCTGATATCCTTGTTTCATCAACTTGTTTGTCAATAATTTAATTCGTTTTAAAAATTGAACATACCCAGAACATGCTCTTGCGCATCGGATCAACTGAGAGATATAAACTCCGAATACAGGTGATGAAGGTATATTGCTACATTAGTATAAGGGATGTTGACGATTAAAAGTTAAAGTCATCAAGTTCATCATAGAGCTTGGTTGTTAGATTATATACCATTAACGTCTTTTCAAGTAAATTATCCAAATATAAAATAGATGTTTCAGACTCGGTGGTATCATTTTATTTCAAGCTCACCAGGATATATCGTATCGACATAAGAATGGAAATAACCATTGTTAATTGACAATACATCGTCAATATATCTCAAAGTCGAGTTGAAGACCCCAGCAAGTGTTTTCTTCTTTTCATGTATAAGACTTAGGACAAATTCTGCTTCATATGAAGTAAAATTTGTTCTGAATCTTACACATGAAAAGAAGAAAACACTTGTGGGGTCTTCAACTCGACATTTAGATACATGTATATCAACGATATATTTATTTTAACAAAATAATTTTGCAAATGACCAATGACAATGTAAGTAAATTTAATTAAAAAAAAAATTAAGCAAATATTCGAGTTCCATTTTCATTGAAAAAGCAGCTGTTAATAATATCAAAATGCTGGACTTGGTTGTGCATTAAGTTGAAAAGCCGTAAGTTTTTAAGCTGTTGATTTAGGTAAAATCTTGTGATTTCAAAATTTCCAAAAGTTCCTTGGAATTTTGAGTATCCACGTGCACATCTGGTTTACACCACTTCAAGAATATATCGTGCATAGTACTCCTGAAGTTTCTCCTTCACTACTTTTAATATCTTCGTGAGGAATAAAGAAAGAGGCTTGGTTAAACATTTACTGGAACCCGCTATGTACCTTTGTTTGTAAGGATTTTTATGAAGTTTCGGAATCCAATATAGATGTGGTAATTCAAATTCATTTGTTACAAATATTCAAAACTGAAATATGATATTGAAGAATTTCTTGCTTAGAAAGGGAACTATGAGTATATTAAATTGAAAGACCACCTATAGAATGAAATCCAAGTTCTTTTAAAATACAATTTATATAATTAGCCTTACAAACGAAGACAATGTTGTAACCTGCTATGTCAGCAGGGACCAGTACGTACTGATCATGTAATCTAATTCTTCTTTCACTTCTGGATAATTGAATATACAGAAGGATAGATGGATTTCATATTGCTCCTCGATCTTTTAATACGCGATTGTAACATAGATCTGATACATTTAATCAGGCATTTTTGGAGGAATGTACAAATATAGATGTGGGTTTACATACACATACTATATTTACATTAACTCTGTAAACCATTATGAAACAGAATTGATAATAACCAATTAAGCAGAATTGATAATAACCAAAATGAATAAGTTTTGCTTATTTTTTTTTTCTATTTTATATATTTTTAAACATAATGAATATATTAAAATTTAGAGAAGGAAACATTCCAAGGTGGCAAAGGTTTATTAATGATAGCAGTCTAAAAGGGAAATAAGGAAAATAAATACATCAGTTGATTAAAATAGCTTGTATATTTCAATTCATTTCCTCGTCAACAAAGACCAACGTAACAAGATAACCTCTCTGAGATATTTTTCATGAATCAATTTGATCACAAAACCACATCATATAAAATAAAACCCAAGATGATACAGGTAACTTTAACGAAAAAGGATTGCAACCTCGGAAAAATGTCCGTTTTGAAGTTGTCCGTCCTTCTCTTAACTGATAAAGAAAACTATAGAACCTTCGCATTTAGATGTGGAAAATACATGCAAATTTTTGTTTACTCCGTATTGGTTATGATATTTAACATTTAAATTACATGTATTGCAATGTTTTTCAATACAGTCCAGCAGTTTTTATTCATACCATTCTTAATAACCACAGCAACAGCGTTTTCCTCTCCTTCAAACTTTATCATTAGTAATCATTACATGATATTCAACTTTTGTTCTATCGGATAAGAAAAGTTCAAGATAGGTAAAATACTAGTACTATTTTTCTTGATTGAAGGGTTATTAAATCCCTAACGCAACAAAAATCACTGATTCATTGTTTCCATGGCTATACTACTAGCAATTTATCACCATTTTTGTAAAGTTACATGTATCTGTGATAGAAGATCCCAAGGATGTGTATTTTGCCAGTCTTGAATTATCCATGATTTTCTTTAAAATTAACAGCAGATTTGTTTTGAAAACCAGCCTCTATGAAGGCTCAGTAAAGATTTAAAGTACATGTATCTTTAGTTAAAATCTAAACTTTTCAAAAAATTCCGGCTGTTGGCATGGCATCCAATACTCAAAGCAACCAAATTTTATTTGTTTTAAGTTGTAGTAATAGGCAAAGTTTCAAATTTTTTTTTGAAAATCGTCCATGCAATGATAAATAAATAAATAATAATTAAGTGGTAACAGAGAATATCTCCAAATGAGTAGATATGCATGCTGATATTGCTACAATACTCGATTCCCGTCTCTAGAAAAGTGTATGTAATCAATCAGTCGGAATACTCATTTGTTTTACGATTTTGCTCTGTTCCTTGGTGTTTATTCGTGTGAGAACCATGATCGATAGATTACCTAACGCTGGTCCTAGCCTTGTACTCTCAATTTGATATACCCCCATTCGTTAGCACCAGTAAGTGGTAGTTTTAACTAGAAAAGTGTCAACTAATTAGTGGTAACTATCTTGCCTCGGTATATGTGTGGTCTATATATTAGGAATTTTTTCCTATTCAGCAACTTTCAATTGGTTAATCAATGATTTTCAAGGGCTCAAAAGTCATTCCCATTTGCCCCAAGGCAGTTACATAAGACATTTGATGATTCATGTCAGTTTTTATCAAACTCATTTTTAGATTTAGATTTGTCTTGCTCAATTATAGAACTTTTTCATATATCTTTCGGCGGCCTTTTGCCGCCGAAATATTGTTTTTTATCCCGCGAAAATGGGAATTCTCTCAATTTTTACAACTTAGGTAGTTTTCTTTTATGCATTCATTGACTGAAATCAGTGGAAAGATGGATTTTGATCCGAACAGTTATATCAAGTCGTTTCTCTCCATGAATCCACCTTTTAAAATGTTTTATTGATATAAGTGACGAACACCAACGAATGCGAATTATGATAATTAATAAATGCATATATAGTGTGACGTAGCATAAGTCCAACATCCCGTCGACGAGTCTAGCTTCATTTTCTTACATCTCAGTGTAATATTAAAAATAGCAAACATTTTTAGAAGAAACAGTTTACATGTACTTTCCCCTTCAACTGATACTGTTTGCATTGTAACTTATATCGGTTAAAATGTTTCCTGTTATTTTTTACTTCCTCTTTTTGCCAAAAATAAACTAATTGTTAGAGGGAAACTACAACAGAAGATTAAATTTGTATAATTACATGTAGATATACATGTATATTTTTTTCATTTCCTCCCTGTTCTAAAATATATCCATAAATAGGTTAATTTAGTTCCACTATGTTATTCTTAGTTATCTAGATCTGTTTTAAAATAAATCTGTTTTTCTTTTATATTTGTTACGCACTTGTCCTTTCTACCATAAAAATGGTAGTTTTCAGAAATAATAATAATAATAAAAAACTTAATTCAAACTATCCAGGTATTTATAAAATTGTACAAATGTTTTTAAAATTTTGATTGAATGGGAATGAAGAAAGAAGGGGTTATCCATCCTCTTTTGACCAGGACGTACATGTATATAAATCAAACTCTACTATCAATTTTTATTTTCAGAAAAAAAGAAATAAAAATGCTTTTTAACAGAGCAAACTGCCAACTCAAGAAAAAATACACAAAGTTTATGAATTTTTGATGATACTATATAATATTGATAACGGTATGCCGTTTTTTATATGCCTATATGTATATATGTCTAGTTTTACTATCAATTAAGAAAACAATTAAAATAAGGATAACACACATTTTCTTCAAATTATTTTTTTGTATCTATGCAAATTTAGTTTGATAAAAATAACATATAGGAAATGTCTCTTCCTACATCATGTATACGTATTTTTCTAAAACAACAAATTAATGACACCACTACCATCATGTGCAGTTTTTTCCACCCAGTAAATTCTTAATATTTTGATAATTCCAATTGCAAGTACAGAGATTAAGAAAATTAAAATTAATTGTTAAAAAAAATCAATTTATATATTACATAAATACATACATTATGCATAAATACAATATAGAATATGCATAATTATACATTAAAATCAAATATAAAAGTTCATCATTGACTTAAATAACCGTAAGTATACCATCCTAGAGTATTCAAACCATGAAGAGACCATTGTTAGAGTCTATGTATTTTTACCTGATCGATGAATCATTTCATTTGATCTGGTAAAAATACCATTCGGTTGTGTGTAATGCATGAAACATATTTACATGTAGGGTACACAAACTCATTCAAGTTGGCATGATAACTTATGTATAAATATGAATGTATGTTAGAACTATACTCACCTCCTGTTTGAGTTGCAGGGACTCTACTTATCCGTCCTCCATCTTATCTGACTTTCCCCTTTTTTTAGTTTGTGGTGATCTATATTTAGCATTTCCTTTATTCTTATCCTTCTATTCAAGGCAACGGATGCCTAAATTGACTCATCTGTTACTAAAATTAGAATATTGCAATTTAAAAAGAAATGCACTCGGACATTTTTGCATTTAAATACAAGGCCTGGGTTGTAAGAAGTGCCATTTGTGGAAAAAAAATATGCAGACGTGAATAGTGGCTAAAATTTTCCTTTGTTTTATTTTTTGCACATAGTCAGCTGTGGATAAAAACAAAACAATATACATGTACCAACGGTTATGCAATTACATCGATCATCTCTACACAGGACCTACCTAGATCGACTGTCTGGGAGCACGCACGTGCTTACTGTTTTTGTCTACTATCATGCCAAGCATCTGGCACATTGCTATCACATTTCTCTGATAACATCCATAATACCACGAATGTGTACCTTTTCAATACAAAACACAATCGAATGACTCTCGGTCACAAAATATGTCTCAACCCACAAATACAGCGTAACTTTTACTTCCCTAATTTAAAATATACAGTATTTACATCCGAAAACATAGTAAACATAGTTATTATACCTTTGATGTCATATCTTAGAAAAACATCAACATTATTTGTATATTCTAATTAAAGAAATATTTTCTTACATAAACGTTCGTCTTCTAACTCCTAAATTGAGAGAAGAAGAGAGAGAGGTACATATCAAGGTATAGCGACTTGAATTTACTAAAGAAGTTTAAAGATATATATTTGCATTTCCAATGTCTTTGTCCGAGATTAAATTACAAATTGTAAATGTACTTTATTTCCCCATCAATGTATTGGCGCGGTTCCAAAAAAACCACGTGTAGGGCGGGTCAAACAGCTAGACAGAAGCAGGCTTGGAGCACATGGATTGGCGGAATCAAAGCATGTAAATATAAGGAATAACTGTCAGATTTTTCAATTTCATAACGATGATCAATCCATTGGCTAGCGTGATAATTTTATGCAAATTATCACTCAAGCCAATCGATTGATCACATCATGAAATCGAAAAATAAGACAATTATTCCTTAAATAAACGGTTGTTATATATGATAGGCCAATAGGAATTTCTTCCACTATACTATCCCCCTTGCTCTAAACATTTCCTAAGATACGGGTTATGTACAATGTGACGGAAGTTTATCACATTTAATAAGATCACTTGCTCCTTTTATTAAATTTCTGGATAGATCTCTCAATGTCAGGAATAATTGTTGAGGAATGTAACAAGCCTCTGTTGATTCCAGATTACTAAATTTTAAGAAAATGAGTTTAATACACCAGAAATGCCGACCATAGCAAAATAAACGGAAACAAAGCAGGAACCAAAAACAAGCAAGCAAATTACAAACAAGAAACCCCAAACAAAGAAAGAAACCAAAAAAAAAACCCCAAAATAAACCAAACCCCCCCCCAAAAAAAATGAATAAAACATCAAAAGTAAAAAAATAAAACAAACAAAACAAACAAACAAAAACAAAAAACATACAATTGTAAAATTTGGAGAATACAAGTATTTCATTTCGATGTATTGCCATGAAAGTTTGGGTAAGGAATTAATAGCCATTCTCTGTAACCACTTAATCTTTTTTGCAACACTTGGTCGCCGATTTTGATGAAACTTTATTCATTCTTTGTACATTCGTTGCTATATGTCTTGGTTGCCATGGTAAGAGCCGGAAAAAATGAAATTTTCAGATACTTTATGTATTTATTGGGCCTTAATAAAATCTAGGAAAAGCAAACAAACACATGACACCTTGTTGCCACTTGTGCAGTAAAGAACTATTTTGAATACCGGGTATATCTGTAACTAAGTGGTAACCAAAGATACATTTGGAATACATTAAGTAAGCTAAATTACGCTGAAAAAAGCTCCATATTCACTAATAGTAATTGTTACATTATCATACTCAATCAACAACTTTTAAGAAAAACAATGAAAATGTTTGACCTTTAGTATATAAATATAAGCAATATCATTCTATGAATAACTTTTATGGTTGCCATGGTAACAAAATGTAACCAAGCAAAAACAGTAACATAGACTGGCTTAATGCTACTGTCTTGAGGAAAAACATAAAATTTTTAGACTGGCAAGTATGCATCTTAATGACCTTGTAACACCAACAACATAAGAAAACTTTGAATTATTTGCTTCTTCGTGGTGTTACCATGGGAACAACATACAAGTGGTTTAAAGTGATATTTTTTTGCTTTAGGAAACTTGCCATTTAATCAAGAAACATTATATTACTCACTTGAATAGTACTTATCTTGTAGAGCTGAAGTTGAATATAATATATTTATAAAATTTGATGAAGAAAACAACACTGTTGCTGTGGTTACCAAGAAGGAAAAAAATGTTCGATTTTGTAATCTAAACATCAATATTAAACCCTGTGTGCCAGCTTCTTGCATCCAGTTAAAGATTGGATGATTGTCAAAATTAAAAGTCAGGTTAGCTAATCCTAAATATCAATAAAAAAAGTTTTGAGAATCTACATTTAAAGGTTCGTATCCAAGGAAACAAAATGTTTTTCAGATTATTAAGCATACATTTTACTGCTTATTTCCATAGCAACACTCTATTTAAAGAATCTGATTTTTTAAATGAAAAAAATTAGGACCACACCAACACCTTTAAAAATAAATAAACTATTATATCAAAATTTGCTTTTTGAAAATATAGGATATTGAATAAGTGATATCGCCTTTGCGAATAGGTGATATCAACTATTCGATTTGAATGAGTGATATCACCTATTCAAATAGGTGATATCACCTATTCAAATAGGTGATATCACCTATTCATTTCCAATAGGTGATATCACCTATTCAATTCCCAAAGGTTATATAACCAGTTCGAAAAGATGATATTACCTATTCGAATAAGTGATAACACCTATGCGAATAGGTGATATTATATAAATATAACCCTTTGATGAGGTCAATTCATAGATATATTGACTTCACAGAAAAGCATATCGACCGAGCACGAAGATTGACCGAATTAAAGGGCTACATTTGTTATATTATTTTTTACATAGATTGACCAAACAAATTATGAAAATAATGGGAAAAAGTTTTCTCTCTTTAACACTTAGAGACTAGAGATCAAAATAAATTACGCTGTTTAATTAATGTGAATGTGTTACCTTTATATTGATGGAGTAATTTAGAGGATTTACTTATTCAAAATACTTCATTTATTTGATTATGATTTGTATCAATATTTGACACAAATATCCAATATGTTTTAATATGAAGTAGATCCTAATTCAATGCATTGTTTTGTCTCATCAAATACAGAACATTAAAAAAAATTAGTAGAACCTGAAATAAATATTTTTTTCTAGAAACATCAAATCATACACTGTATTAGCTATGACTGAAGTCAGTACTATTTTGTTTTACAGAAATTATCTCCATTTTAAGAAACCTCAAGTCAATATGCATTTCAGATTCTATAAATAGTAACTCAAGTCTTAATGCTGCTATATACTTAATTATGTGATCAAGTTTGAGCCAATCAGAGAGCTTGGAATAAATGATAAAAATAATATCACCTATTCAATAGGTGATACCACCTATTCGAATAAGTGATATCACCTATTCGAATAAGTGACGAATAGGTGATATCACTTTTTGCCAGTAAATACCAAAACGGTGCCTCATATGATCGCCTGCGATTTGTGCAGGGGGCGACAATATGTGCCCTCAAGGTACTAGTATTAGAGAAAATCTTTTTTATTGTCACTTCCCTTACAAGTATAAGTATGTAGCAACATACCTTTTATCATCTGCATATGGAATGTATGCCTCCCAGTTGGTTCGACCCGCAGGAGCATGCTGTAAGTATGAACAATTTAAAAAATGCGGCAAGCTATTGAAAAATAAGTTTATGAGATATACATGTAATGTAGAAATCAACAATCTCGTTTGAAAGGTTTGTACAGCTTTGTCAACAAATGCAATTTATGTACTGTTTTCACGCTATACAGCTCAACGCACTTTTTAAGCTCACATGGTTTTTTGCACAAATTAAGGTCACATTGCTATAATGTAATATTGTGTAGAGAGACAACAAAATGCATTTTAAAAGTACTTGTTTACATTATTTGAGTTTTATTTTATTTACATAAACATAATTTACACAAATCAGTTAATAGAACTTTGATATATTCATGGCTGAAAAATAACAACTATTCCCATTTGATTTTTTTGTTGTTTCTTGCAAATTGTAGCTGTCGTTTTTTTCCATTCTCTCTTTGCAGAAACGTAGACACGGGCACAGTACAGCTTGTGTAACTAGTATTTTCTGTATATTCTAACTCTTTAGCGCAGGATGATAATAGTATTTTTCATCTGTTTGACTGCTTTTTGTGCAAAATTTTAACGTTTCAAACCGTAAATGCAATAGAATTTTCCTTTTCATAGAAAGAATATATACTTTTTAAAAAATTAAACAATACTTCAATATCCTACCCTTTAGTGTGGTTTCTTTCTACAATGTTATCATTTTTCGGCGCTACATTTCCACAAAACCAATAGGAGTATGGTAAATGAGCATAGAATTTTGAAAAATACTCACCTTTAAGAAGAAAATTAAAAAGTTTCAACTACATGGTATCAATAAAAGCTCGTTTTATATAATTTGTAAAAACCTATGGTAGAATCCTATAGTAGAAGCATCGTACCATTTATTGATTAATTCCCCTTTAATACATCCACTTTAGAAACTTAAGATTATGATTCTAAAGGACTTATGTCCTTGACATTATATATGTAATATAACGTAGGGCTGTTTCATCGTACTGAAGTTAGAAAATGGTAATTTTTATATAAAAAATATGACCTTAATTTGTGCGAAAAACCATGTGAGCTTAAAAGGTGCGTTGAGCTGTATTTGTTAGGGAATTATTTACACATCGAATGGTCTACGGATTTTCTTAATTCCCTTTTCCTGAACAGCGGGTATGACCAGTCAGTAGGGGATGCTCACTTCTCCATGGCACCTGAACTGGTCCCATCTCTGATGTTTTTTGGAGTTCCGAGTTTACTCTGATCCCAAAGCTTTTGAATTTACTGAGTGGCAGTAAATCCAAAATTTACAACATGACAGCGCTAGTTACCAATCATTAATCTGCAGCTCAGATGGTTAACTTGGATTATTAATTAAATGAATATCTATAAACCTACATGCCTCGACATGTGATATGCAGAAAGAAAAATTTTATACTTTAATCATCGCCAAGGATAATAAGACTGGACACCTGATTAATTTCAGAGACATGGGGGCTATCAGATATGATAATGCTTGGTCAATCAAGATCCTCGGTGATTTTTTTTTTTTTTATTAAAAAAATAATCAAGTTGGTTAATTTTTTTATCATTCGTTTTTAATCGGTTAAATGGATCCGGTTGTATCAACGATTCATAAAATTTAATGAATTAAATTCTTAATGATACATTAGTTAATGAAGGCCTTAAAGTGACAGTACAAAACCTTTATAATGTTAACTATTAAATGTGTACATACAAGGCATGCATTATAGTTTTTGTATTCCATTGCTCAATTATGGTTCTTTATTTTATTAAATTTTTACCAACGTTAAATTTAGCCATCTTTGCTAAGTCAACATAATAATGAATTTATTCCTGAAAGTCTGAAGTTTGTTTGTCCATTTAAATTTCAATCTTTGATCAAGAATATTTCTTATGTCTGATAGGCCTAATCCAAACTATCTGGGATTTTGATCGATTTCTTTAAAAAAAGAAAAAAACAAATAAAGCATTACAATTTTTTAAAATTAAGGATAAAGGACAGAAAAAAGACTAGAAATTAGTTTGAAACAAATCGGCTAAATTAGATGTAAATAATAAATTTTAAAAATCAGTAACGCGAATCCCCCCCTTCCCCTCGATGCTACGTGTCTGATGTGAATGAAAATGGGGTATTACATCAAGAAATTAATTAGAGATATCGTGTTATCCATGTAAATGAAGAAAAATTGTCAATCAATTTATCAAATTAGGCTTTGGTTATTATTTTTTAAAAATTCCTATATCGATGTATTTTCCGGAAAAGTATTTAGAAAATTTTGGTTTTTCATTTTCTATTACTCTAAGTCATAAATAAGCTTGCTGAATACGATTCAATATATACGAAAGAAAAAACGTTTGAATAACTTTGATCTAAGGTCACATGATTTCACTAAGTAAAATGTAAACACTTACACTGCGAGGGTCAAAGTCTGATGAAACAGAACAGTGAGAACTGAAGACATACAAGACATAATGAATGCAATATCAGCACCCAGAATCTCCATTTGTTTTATTTGGACTCTGCTGATCTTCACATCAGAAGTCTTAAGGTAAAAAGATGTTACAACTTACAGAGATATATCACACAGTCACTGGTTTCGCCAACGTGTCCTCGATCAAACAGCTGATTAAGGATCACCCTGTTCACTTAGTTGTATGTGATGCATTTAGATCTACTGAAACAGGATATCAAATGTTTTTGAGGATGTGTGTATTTACCATCTCTTACATTATCATTTGATGAAAGATAGAAAAAAATCGCTTAGCCTTATGTACATGAATTACACAATAATTGAGTAATATGAAATTTTTATTTGAACATGCTAACTTCATTTTTTAATCTTTCAATGAGTGAATTCAGACACACCTAGAAAAACACAATACACAAAAAAACATGCACCCTCCAGAATCAAAGCACCTGTGACGCGCCCATCCACCTGTCCACAAAGCACCTGACCCATCATATTTAACTCAGAGAGATCAATTAGCTAGAACCATACTTGCCAACTTCCAGCATGTAAAAATCTGGTCACCTGTCCACAGGAAAAAGCATGACAAAAAAAACATAAACAACCAGTGTGTAAAAGATTTCAGTCGCTAAATTTGAAAGGTGACAGGCTACTTCACTGCTACTTTCGCAGAGCTTTCTTGTTGTTATTTACTTTGTTTTATGGATAAAACTGCTGACTCCTATGACCCATCATATATAACTCAGAGAGATCAATTCGCTAGAACTGTTGAATTTAATTTTACATTTGAACTTTGTTTTTTCAGTGATGTAGAAGAGGAGAATCTAGGAGACAACAGATGTGTTTACATTAAAGGACGACGTGTTATTGACATTGTAACTGTTCCATGTACAGAGAAAATCAAAGCGAGTTGTGGGTGGTTCAGTATTTCATACTGTACTATGTACAGGCAAGTTAAAAAAGAACAATAGAATTATTTACAGTTAACTTTAGTTTGATTAATTAGGTGCATAAACAGAGTTTAACACTTTACTGTGTTACCATGTACAGTATATTAACATGTAATTTTTTCCCACAGAAAAACATATTGTAAAAAGGAACTGAATTCAACGAAGATTCTCTACTACAAATCAACAGAATGTTGTACAGGGTTTGTGAGAACACCCAACAATACTTGTGTCAGTAAGTGTAACTTTTACTCAACATCACATACTGAGGGTTTTACAGAGAAACACTCCAAAACAAGTTATCTTGTATGGGAAAACTGCTTTGAATTTTGCACAATATTGAATATTTTTTTTTAGGGGATAGATGAGTGACCCCTTTGCTTTAATAATTATTTAAATGAAACCCTTTTTTTTTTTAGAAGTGTTGTACAGATGTAATGCTTATTTTTAGAACAATTTCCAAAGCTATTTGGAAGATTACAATACTTATGTTTTTTCTTCTCTCAGATGAAACAACACTTGACCCAGAGCTACGAAGCATTATAGAAAATACCACAAGTGAGTCTCAAATGCAAGTTAATGCACAATTATTTTCAATATTTGAAAATTTATCGTGATAATCAAATTGAAGATTGGTGTCAATTAGAAAATAACAGAGGTTAAAAGTATTATTTACAGAAAATGCAAACTTTGTAGCATGTACATGTATATATGTGTGTAATTGTTTAATACATACACATGCTCAAGGTAAGTACAGTTAAAACTAATTTAGTACAAACATTGATATAGCAGTTCACTGATATGGCAAAGTTATTTTGGATCCCCAGCTTATAAATTTTAAGAAATCCCAGTGACTTCGTAATGAACGAATTTTGCTGTACAATGCATCTTCTACATTTTAATGTTGTGCTTTTAAATCTTTATATTATACAGTTATCATGGTTTTGGAATTGGTATGAGGGAAAAAGCAATTTTATGGTTCCCCAAAGGAGGGAAATAGTTTCCAGCTGAGGGGAACCATAGATTTGAATAAGTGATATTTCCCAAGTAGCCACTTCATAACTTCCAGCTTATATTAATTTACTACTTAAGTATAAAAGTGCATTCTATAAATATCGGTAAACACTTTCTTGCCAATAATGTTTGAAACCTGATTATTTTGAAATTTATATTTGTTTTGTTTTAGAGAAAGATATGGATGAGGACTTCATTGTTGATCCTAAGGATGTCATTAAATATGAACCTTCTGCTTTGGAACATGAGGTTGAATCACCTGTTATTCATAAAACAGGGAGTGGTAAAAATAGCATCAGTCTTTCTCAAGGGGCCTACGCAGGGATAGCTTGTGCCCTCTTGTTTCTTGGTGTTGTTGCTGTATTTGTTGGGATTGCTATTAGAAAGAAAAGGTAAAGTTACATGTATCAAAAAAGTAGGATTTAATTAAAACTATGAAATTCTTCCTTTGGTTTCTTAAAAGAAATCAATCAAAAACCTAAATTGTTCGGATTGGAAGTAAGAAATATTCTTGATCAGCGACTAAAAGTTCAATGGGCAAACAAAATTCAAACTTTGAGGGATTCATTATAATGTTGACTAAGTAAAGATCACTATGGTAAAAATTAAATGGAATTAAGACCACAATTGAGAAATGAAATACAAGTACAAAAACTTACCTTCCACAGGAAGAATTGACAAAATCTCTACTTATATCAGTCCAAATTTCTGTGTATATCTTGAACAATCCCACAACTCTTTAGTTTTAAAAGATCTAAAATAAAATTTTTAGATGATTTTGGTACATTCTGTCACTCAGATCAGAATTTACTGAATTTAGATAGTAAAATTTTCATATATGAAGATATGTTTTTTAAAATGAAAAAAAAATTGATTCAAGAAAAAGTTCTAAAGAAATCATATCTTATCTCCACATTATATTTATATTAAACAGACTGAGAAATAGACATAATAAAAAGAGTGGAGGAATGAGAGATAGTAGGATGGAGGGAGGAGTGATGTACCAAACGACCCCCATAGTGAAAACCCGACGTTCCAGTAAATCATCTGTAACGGAGGAGATAGAACGGCTCCACCCAGACACGGAGGAAACATGATCACCGTAATTAGACGTAAACATTACCACAAGAGATTCCCACAGTTCTTTTAAACACTTATAAAATATTGTTTATAATTATTTCTATTTGCCTTTCTTTACAAATAAGAAAGTAGAGTTACTTTTTGGACAGTGTTATTAGGCATTCCAACTACATCATCATGATTGTACTTAACTGCAACATTCATAAGTTTCAAATGGCATTATAATCCTGTAATAAGTATAGATCACCTTTATATAAGCAAACATTTATAAATAATTGATCATTGATGGCTCAAGTGAGCTTTTCTGATAAAATATCTGTTTTCTCTTGTCATCATCTTAATAATCTTTCAATTTCTTCTCAAAAATCGCCATGGGACCACTGGAGGGAAGGGGGGAGCATTTTTTTCTATAAAAGGTCTTATTTGTGATTTCACAGTATTTTATCGTGTTTCATTCATGTATACTGTAACTCATATTATAATGATGTTGCCAGAAATGGGATGATTGCATTAAGTTTTGTATTTTATCTTTGTTTTCTATGAAACATGCATTTATGTCTCGGTATACTTTTGGGGACACTCTAGCTATCACCCAATATGTAAGTTATCAAAGTGATCAGAAAACAAGAGTATCTGCTCAATTCGATTTCAATATTAAACAGACCAATAAAATATTGCTTATTTTGATATAATCATGTAAATATGTGATTTATTTATTTTAATCTGTGGAGTATAGTGACTTGATGAGGATGAATTGGTACTGGAAAAACTTAGTAACCAAATGCCTCTGCTGTATTTAGCCTACTCACAAGCAGTGTGATACCTACTAGAGAAAATCTATAGCATGTTAAATAGGTTTTCAGTGTAAATATGTAGTTCTGAAGGTAGAGTGAGAGAGAGAATGTGAAAGTATGAAACCAAATGTGCAGCACCTAGTCTAGTGTCCGTGTGTACATTTACACTCTATTACTGGTTGTGTGTATATCTCCATGTATCTATAGAGAGAGGTCACCAGAACCCGTGTAAAACATTACTGTAAATGTATTACCAGCATGAAAACAAGATTTTTCAGTATTTGATGTTTATCATTTATTCTTAAAAATTATGAATTTACATTTCATCTTGTGTCGGTATAAATTATGTATATGGTATATGAAGAATGTGTGCAAGATTATTATTGTATTCATAAATTGTGTATTTGATGTCCTATTAACAATGCATCCATTTTTGCCAATTAAAGCAGTATTTTTTTTTTCCTTTTTCTACCTCTCTATGCTGTACTTACATATTTTTGGACAATAATTAAGCTAAGTAAAAAATCAATATATACAGTGGACCTTCAGATATCTGGATGCCAGATATTCGGATGCTTCAGTATCCGGACGATTTCTCATTGGAATGGAATTTTTAAACATTATTTTGTCTTGTTCAACTGGTAATTCAGACAGGTATCCGGACGCTTCACTTATCGGGACAAATTGACTGGGAACCAAAGCATCCGGATAAATGAGGCTCCACTGTAATATGATATTTGTGTAGGGGTTGCTAAAATAGGTTAAGAAGAAGAATGTGCCACTGAGTCCATTCTGTAACCATAGACTTTTGTCATTTATTTTTGTATTCTTATTATATATGCCTATCCAACAAGGCAATTAATTATGCTTGAAATCAACCTATAGAACTCTTGATTTTGTGTTGAAGATTTAGAGCTTTTCAAATTACTACTTGTACAAAAATTATTCAAAATTATCAATTATAATTTCACCCTATTTCCAAATTTCTAGCAGAAAAAAATTTATTCCAGTGGCACATTCTTATGTAGAGCCCCTAAGCCTCCTAAAGATATTCAGTAAAAATGATGTTTTAAAGATTTAAGTTGGACATTGAAGTGAAGAATTATTGTTTTTCTGTTGTATTTGGTTTCATAATTTACACTTATAACGGCATCTCATGTTGCTCTTTTCTTTCTTTAAAACAAAATGGATCTGATTAGAACCATGTCAGTACTGTGTTATGTTTTTAAATATTGTTTGGGTTTTACAATTTTATCATAAAATTACATTACCTATGATGTTGAATTGATTGATTTATTCATTATAAAATGTTACAAACTGTTATCTGTGTATAGAGTTCTGTTTATATATTACTAGTATTACCTTAAAGTTTGTTTTAAATGAAATGTGTAGAGATAAGGAAAAGTATTCAAGCTCAAAAGTCCATTAAACATTAAAAAATGGGAGCAGGGCAAACACGGACCTCTTAGTAAAACATCAGAGGTTGGATCATGTGCCATGGAGGAGTGAGCATCCCTTGCCGACCTGTCACAAGGAATACACACGCCCATGTAAAAATAAAAGCTAGTCCAATTACATAAAAAGTTATGGCCAAAATTACGTCTTCCGATACGCTACTCTCCTCATAAACTCCAATCACAACTTGAGAAAAAATACGAACTTTTTTAAAACAAGGTTAAATGTTAGAAGTATAGCTTATCAGAAACCCTTTGCTATATATAGCGCAAATTTTGATGATGTTTTTGATAGTAGCGTATCAGAAACCCTTGGGTAGCGAAGATGCCAAGATTTAAAATTTTTAAAATAAGACAATGTAACTAAACATACCCCTCCTTCCCCTATCCCCATTTTATCACAAGGAATGTACAATTAAAGCATGGATTAAAGCACTAGCTCAAAAGTTATCTCCAAGGTTAAGGTTAAATAAAATTTTACAAAAATGGACCAGTCTGAAATTAATCTCAAGAGGTCATAATTTAAAGTACTTCCCAAAAGAGTTATGCCACAAGGATAACACTTGTGAAAATATGACCCCTATCGCTCAAACCATAGGCGCTTGTTTCTGTAAGACTTTTTTAACCCATAGTATATCGACTAAATGTTATAATCATACTATGAGTAAAGATGTGTTTGTGAAACACTGATGCCCCCGTATGGCAACATAGCGAAGGTTGAGCTTTCTCAAATGCAGATCAAATATGTTGGTACCAAAAGTATGGCCTTTTCACAAGAAATACGAAATAAAAAACGCTAGCTACACCTGTTCCAGGGTTATGACCAAGGTTAACATTTTATAAATTAGAACAAACTCCGGGTCAAGGTCAAAGGGTCAAGGTTGTTGGGTTCTAAAGAAAAGCCTTGTCTCAAAGATTACGTATGGGAAGTATGAAAGCGCTGGCACTTACCGTTCAAAAGTTATGGCTAAGGTTAAAGTTTGTAAAAAGTAGGTCAAATTCTAAGATCAAGGTCAAAGGGTCAAGATTCTTGATATTTAATGAAAGGTCTTGTCACAATGATTACACATGTGAAATATGAAAGCTCTAGCCATTACTGTTCAAAAGTTATGGTCAAGGTTAAAGTTTGTAAAATGTAGGTCAAACTCCAAGGTCAAGGTCAAAGGGTCAAGGTTCTTGATATCAAATAAAAGGTATTGTCACAAGGATTAAATTTGTGAAGTATGAATGCCCTAGTCGGAACCCTGGAAAAATTATGGTCAATGTTGTATTTTTAAAGTAGGTCAAACTCCAAGGTCAAATGGTCAAGGTTCTTGGTATCCAATGAAAGGTCTTTTCATTAGGATTATATATGTGAAGTATGAAAGCACTAGTACTTATTGTTCAAAAGTTAAAGCCATTAAAGTTTTTTCATAGGTATGGAAGATCTCCAAGGTCAAAAGTTAAGGCTGTTGGTATCCAATGAAAGGTCTTTCCACAAAGAATACATATATCTAATATAAATGTCCTGGTATCTATTGTTCAAAAGATATGGCCAAAGTAAAAGTTCAAAATTTTTTGTGTTAAAGTGGGTCAAACTCCAAGGTCAAGGTCAAAAGGTAAAATTTGGTGGTACCCAAAGAAAGGTCTTCTCACAAGGAATACACATGTGAAATATGAATGTCATAGCTCCACTAAATCAAAAGTTATAGGCAAGGTTAAAGTTTTTGAGGACAAACAGAGAGACAGACAGACAGACAGATAGACAGACGGACGGACACGACAAAAACTATATACCCCTGAAACTTCGTTTACAGGGGCATAAAAAATATTACAGAAACGCGAGTGTGTGTGGCTCCAACCATAGTGACGTAGCATCGTTTTTGAAAAGGGGGGGGGGGGCGAGGATTTTTTTAAAACTTACATGAAAAAGTTTGACAAGCAAAAACAAGATGTGTTTGTGAAACACTGATGCCCCCGTATGGCAACATAGCGAAGGTTAAGCTTTCTCAAATGCAGATCAAATATATTGGTTCCAAAGTATGGCCTTTTCACAAGAAATACGAAATAAAAAACGCTAGCTACACCTGTTCCAGGGTTATGACCAAGGTTAATATTTTATGATATAGGACAAACTTCGGGTCAAGGTCAAAGGGTCAAGGTTGTTGGGTTCTAAAGAAAAGCCTTGTCTCAAAGATTACGTATGGGAAGTATGAAAGCGCTGGCACTTACCGTTCAAAAGTTATGGCCAAGGTTAAAGTTTGTAAAAAGTAGGTCAAACTCTAAGGTCAAGGTCAAAGGGTCAAGATTCTTGATATCCAATGAAAGGTCTTGTCACAAGGATCACACATGTGAAATATGAAAGCTCTAGCCCCTACTGTTCAAAAGTTATGGTCAAGGTTAAAATTTGTAGAAAGTAGGTCAAACTCCAAGGTCAAGCTCAAAGGGTCAAGGATCTTGATATCAAATGAAAGGTCTTGTCACAAGGATTAAATTTGTGATGTATGAATGCCCTAGTCGGAACCCTTGAAAAATTTTGGTCAATGTTGTATTTTAAAGTAGGTCAGACTCCAAGGTCAAGGTCAAAGGGTCAAGGTTCTTGGTATTTAATGAAAAGTCTTTTCATCAGGATTATATATGTGAAATATGAAAGCCCTAGTACGTATTTTTCAAAAGTTATAGCCAAGGTTAAAGTTTTTCCATGGGTACGGAAATCTCCAAGGTCAAGGTCAAAACGTTTAAATTATTGATATCCAATGAAAGGTCTTTAAACAAAAAATATATATCTTAAATATTAATGTCCTGGTGTATATTGTTCAAAAGATATGGCCAAAGTAAAAGTTCAAAATTTTTGTGTTAAAGTGAGTCAAACTCCAAGGTCAAGGTCAAAAGGTCGAATTTGGTGGTAAACAAAGAAAGGTCTTGTCACAAGGAATACACGTGAAATATGAATGTCATATCTCCACTAAATTAAGTTATAATGTCCTGGTATATATTGTTCAAAAGATATAGCCAAAGCAAAAGTTCAAAATTTTTGTGTTAAAGTGGGTCAAACTCCAAGGTCAAAAGGTCGAATTTGGTGGTACCCAAAGAAAGGTCTTGTCACAAGGAATACACGTGAAATATGAATGTCATATCTCCACTAAATCAAAAGTTATAGGCAAGGTTAAAGTTTTTGCGACAAACAGACAAACAGACAAACAGACAGACAGAAAGACGGACGGACATGACAAAAACTATATACCCCCGAAACTTCATTTACGGGGGCGAAAAAAAAGTCTCACCCATGTATAAAGAAATAGTGCAGACAACCTCGAAATCGGAATGTTGAATATAGTTTCGGATTTTCAAACAATCTGAGGCTCACCTTTTCGAGAAAAAACAAGATGTGTTTGTGAAACACTAATGTCCCCGTATGGCAACATAGCAAAGATTAAACATTTTTTAATGCAAACGTAATAAATTGGTACCAAAAGTAGGGTATTCTCACTGGAAAACAATTAATGAATTTGAAAGTAGGCCAATGTTAAATTTTTTTTTCAATAAGTAAAAAAATCTCCAAGGTCAAAAGGCCAAGGTAATTGGTATCCAATGAAAAGTCTTGCCATATAGAATACTAGCCCTAACCGTTCAGAAGTTATGGCCAAGATTAATTGTTTTTAAGTAGGTCAAACTCCAAGGTCAAGGTCAAAGGGTCAAAGTTCCTGTTATCAAATGAAAGGTCTTGTCACAAGGATTGAATATGTAAAGTACGTATGAAAGCACTAGCCCTAACTCTTTAAAAGTTATGGTCAAGGTTTGCTTTTTTAAAGTAGGTCAAACTCAAAGGTCAAGGTCAAGGGGTCAAAGTTCTTGGTATTCAATGAAGCGACTTCTCAAAAGGATTACATATTTGAAGTATGAAAGCCCTATCCCTTACCGTTCAAAAGTAATGGCGAAGGTTAAAGTTTTTTCACAAGTACGGAAATCTACAAGGTCAAGGTCAAAGGGTCAAGGTTGTTGGTATCCGATGAAAGGTCTTTCAACAAAAAATACACATGTGAAGTATAAATGTCCTGGTATCTACTGTTCAAATGATATGGCCAAAGTAAAAGTTTAAAATTTTCACGTAAAAGTGGTTCAAACTCCAAGGTCAAGGTCAAAAGGACAAATTTGGTGGTACCCAAAGAGAGGTCTTGTCACAAGGAATACACATGTCAAGGTCAAAGGGTCAAAGTTTTGGTATCCAATGAAAGGTCTTCTCACAAGGATTACATATGTGAAGTATGAAATCCCTATCCCTTACCACTCAAAAGTTATGGTCAAGGTTAAAGTTTTTTCATAAGTACAGAAATCTCCAAGGTCAAGGTCAACAGGTCAAGGATTTGGGTATCCGATGAAATGTCTTGCTACAAAGAATACATATGTGAAATATGAAAGTCCCAGTTCCTACCATTCAAAAGTTATGGCATAAGTAAAAGTTCAGAATTTTTGTGTAAAAGTGGGCCAAACTCCAAGGTCAAGGTCAAAAGGTCAAATTCAGTGGTACCTAAAGAAAGGCCTTGTCTCAAGGAATACATATGTGAAATATGAAAGTCATAGCTTCACTAGATCAAAAGTTATGGGCAAGGTTAAAGTTTTTGTGACGGACAGACTGACAGACTGACGGACAGACGAATGAGATTTAATGTCCCCTCGCTTTCACGAAAGCGGGGCACAAAAATGTTATGATTGCTGATTGTATGAGGCGCCGTTTTTAATATTTTTGAGGTATTTTCTAATATAAAAAAAATCTTGATATATCAATAATTCGAATTCTTGATATCAAAAATATTTCTTGATACCAAAAAATAATTCTTGATATAAAAAAAAGATTTTTTGATATCCAAAAATCTTTTCCTGATATCAAAAATTCGAATTCTTGATATCAAAAAAATGATTTTCTGATATCAGAAATTCGATTTTTTTAAACAAAAAAACCCCTTATTTTTTGATATCAAAAATATATTTTCTGATATCACAAAATGATTTTTTTGATATGAGAAAATACCTTTAAAATATTAAAACGGCGCCTCATATGATTAAGATGGAAAGAGGGGGAAAAGAGAGAGATACTATACTTTTTTATTTGATCTAAAAAAAAAAAACAACAGATATGACATTTAACGTACAACTTGCCTTTTCGGTATGTAATCCGACACAACTAGGAACGGTTTATCAAAAGCAAAATGGAGTCGAAGATGGGAAAAGCTAACAACGATGAAAATAAATCAGTCAAAGTATTGAGAGGAGCTACAGATCTCCAGAGGTTAAAGCTTGAAAAGTTGATGAAAAATCCGGTATAACTTTCTTTTGTCTTTATACCCCCAAAATACAAGTAAAGATGATACAATAATGAATTTTAGTATGGATGTACAGAAAATCGCATTTTCATTTTAAACTCGTTTGAAAACAGTTCATGAAATAATCACTCTTTCTGTGCAATTTCAATCAACATTTAAAAGATTTTGGTATATATGCATGTACAGTAATTAATTTGTTACCAAACAGTTACTTCTTAATTCAAATAACAATCTTGTACATTTTTCATGAAGAATAAAGAAGCATTCATACCGGAAAAATCAAAAGAAAAAGAACCTAGAGCACCCCATGAATTCATCAGGAATGTTTGGGGTAATATTATTTTTTAATACTTGTTATACATAAAGATTTTTTTTTATCATTGACTGATAAAGTTTAGGACTTAAGTTTATTTTGATGGAACAAATAAAAGCCTTTCCTTATCATGGTTTATAGTTGATATAACTTGGGACATACTAAAACAAGTCCCACGGGGAAAATATATCCACGTGACAGAAAAATAATGAGTCCCACCAGGAAATATGACATTTTGTTAATATTTAATAACACGTCTTTATAGATTATCATTGTTTAGATATATTTTGAATAAATGTTTGCCACAAAAAAAGTTTTTGAAGCCGGTTTAGTTAGTTACAAAATCAAAGAACGATAACTCCTATATCCTCACATAACTCTATAGTGTTTCCAAGTCCCACCAATAATTATAACATTTTAGTAGTTTTTGTAAACAAATATTTATAGATGTTATTATTTTATTATTATTATATTAATAATGATTTTAAAAATGCAAGAAGTTCAAAGATGTTTTCCAATGATCGTTTATAATATAAACAAAGACCAATAACTCCTACATCTGCAACAAGTAACAAGCCATCTAAATTTTTAATTTTTAAGATTTAATGAAACTTTATATAAATTAACAATATTACAATATCAAAACTTGGGAAATTTAATGAAATTTTTCAATGATAGTCTTGTATTTATCAAACAGATGAGAAAGAAATTTTTTATTGGAATGTGGAATGCACTAGCTCAATAATCTAAAGCTATTCTTTCTTTTGAAAATTACGACTATGCAGTCCAAGGAAATTATATAGACCCAAAAGTATCGTTTTATTGATATAGAAAGTGAACTAGTTTACTCATTCATAACATGATATGAAATTGGAAGTGATTTATAGCTGACAACAGTGATATACTAGTATTTTAATGATATCTTTTTTAAAAAAATTACAATGTAATGTATGAATTTTATAACAATTGAGTGAAATGAAAAATCAAACTGCAAAAACCAGAATGCCAGCCAAGATAGCTGTGTTTTCATCCCTTAAAGATACTTTCGTGATGAAAAACTTTCAGTTAGAGAATTAGTACTCAGATGCATGGGCTTGAATTCAGGTATCCTGAAAATATATTTGAGGAATATGATGAACTTGAAGAAAATAAATGTGTTTATTATTGTGTTATAACGTGTTTTAATTCTGTTCAAGTCCTTCTGTCGAAGATGAAAAACACTTTTTTTAGAGGGCAGCTTTAGTTTGTTTATTTGTTTACGGTGTAAATTACAATTCTTAAAAATCGTCACTATAATAAATAATTACTTACTTTAATGCTTACTTAATTTCTGAATTTGCTGACATTCAATAACACAACTGCAGGATTACAGAACCTAAGTTATGGACTATAAAGTTTAGCTATTGAAGTCTGTATATCAAATCTGTTCTTTAAAAAAAGAAATTTTTTCTCTGACAGATCAAAACTGAATTCATCTTCTAAATATGTTGTTTAATTTTCTTTTGTTTGTACATATAATTCATGGTGTCAATCAAATCAATATAGAATTCCAAGTTTATTTAAAAATACTCTTTATTAACAATTTCCACATCCAGGAGTGTTACTGGCTTTAATAATCTATATCTTTATCTTTATTTACATGATGGATAATGAACACATTTTTAAATAAAGAAAATGGATATATAACAGCTACTTCTCTTGTGGTATATTCTACAAATTAATACAAACCTTCAATGGCTGTGCCTATAACACTATTATGTTGAATCTTTTCATACAATTAAAATAGCAAGAATGTACTTTAAGATGTATCATATAAATTAAATAAGAATTTACAATACAGTTTATGCTGACTTTGTCTATTCTAAATCACAATTCTTTACTAATTTAAGTTTCAAAGAATGTTTTTATCTATGAAATCAAATACGAAAATTTTTTATTATAATGATTTCTTTATCATGACCATATTTGTCATACATAATAGTAGCTGAATTTTCAATAATTCTACTTTAAATTAAATATTTTATTTGAATTCAAAATGGTGTAACCTAGTCCCAGCCTTGTTCAAAAGTTATTGTAATGGGTATACACACAACAGGGGGGATTGAAAGGTGTGAATAACATCCCCCATGTGTTGTGTACAGGTGTACCAGGGACGTATCTCTATTGGCCTCTGTGTATATACACAATAAAGATAGGCCTGTCATGGGTGTCAGGAAAACTTACCAAGTTGTTGTTAAAATACATAAAACCACAGTAAAAGTATTTTAGTTTGTAAAAAAAAATAATAACATACTACAATAAAATAAAACATACTTTTACTTGTATATAATATATAAATTGGAAGAATATTTTCAAACGAAACTTAAAAATTCAAGTAAAACAGAAGAACACATTAAATTCAGAAATAACACCCTTCTTTACTAAAAAAAAAATATTGTTACAAATATCAATTGACTTATTTTTTTTTAAGAAAAAAAGCTAACTTTCAACAGTGTTCAAGTATTAGTTCACGACCATTGTTTACATTTGAACAGAGTTATCGTTCTTGACTGTGGTCTAAAATTTATAATCGTCTATTTAACACACTAAAAAACATTTTTATCAAAACTTTTTTTGATATATGAACATATAAACATCATATTCTTTCGAAATATCCCTTTATTATATGTATTTATTGGCTCTTTTGCTGTGGGACTCACGTAGGACTCACGTGGGACTTATTTTCTCCGTGGGACTTGTTTTAGTATCAGCGTATAACTTTCAAATGAAACGATACATTCATGCTGGCCGCACCTCTTCATTCCTATATCTAGTGTTTGCCTGAATATCTCCATGAATTATTTTTTTCTATTATAACCTGTTCCTGTTCATTGCTTTATTTCTCTTTAAGGATACACCAAAGGCTTTTTTCAAGATTTTTGACAATTTTGAGATTTTTGGCTAAGAAAACAATGCTAATCACTGCTTTATAATGCATGAAAAATTCTTGCTGATTATTGAATGGTTTTCTAATTATTTAACAATAATCAAACATAAACACTAACACATGTGAATGTGCCGTTATTGCAGCTTCTGATTTGGTCTGTAACTGCCTGCTGCCTGCTGCTGAAAGGAGCAATAAATCACTGTGACCACTTGGGGAATTCTTCACTAGCCACACAGAGGCTATCAGTAATTAAACTACAGGGACTCTAGGTTTAGGGAAGGAGATCTAACAGGTCACTAATGACCATGAAATAGGAGGTGGAGCTTAGCTCTTTCCATTTTGCCGGGAAATCTTTCTGATTCAGAATTGAACGTATTTTACTTCATTAAAAACACCTAAATGAAGAATAGAACCTCCCATTCTTGTGAATATGCATAGGAAATATGGATAAGTGACAGGTATCCAAAGCTGAATCTCCAAGGTGTCATATATTTCTAGCTTTGGCAGACTCTGTTGTGTAATGGGTTTTTGCCCTCTACTGTAAAGTAAGATCAGACAGTTGGTGGTATTATTTCAAAGGATTCAGCTCCCTTATTTATTGACCAATTTCTCTGAAAACTGGCTAGATTGTGTCTCAAATGTTTGTTCACAAAACCGTATCTCAGATTTTTGATATCTTGCTCAGTGCTCGAATTATTGGTGGAAATGTAGAATTGGGCTAATAAATTGGTAACATTGAAAGACAAATGGATGTAACTTTTGAATAAGAAGATTTATTAAAAATCTGAGATACGGTTTTAAAGTTCAATCTTTAATCTACATTGAGGCAAAATTTTGACTTTGAGAGGTGGAGTGCAAAAAAGTTGATTTATAAAATATGAATGCACTAATATTTACATTAAAATATTAATAACTTTTAAATAAGATAAAAATGAAAATTTAAATTAAGATCATTAAATAGTAAATTTAAGAAGCTTTCAAATGATATATACTTTTAATATGTTAACTTTGTTAATGAAAGAATTACAAGCAAATTAAATTTTGCCCTTTGGAAACCTTTGGTGTATCCTTAAGGTAAAGATCCATACCACGTAAAATAACGTTATGTGACGTTATTCTCGTTTGTGACGTTATTACGTCAAACGCGCCCGACGCTTATTCTATCAAAAATGCCTGACGTCGATTTCACTTACCGGAAAAAAAAGGGTACATTAATTTCCAAATAAAAGGCATAAATAAATACGATGTTCAGTTATTTTCCGGGATGCATGATCGAAGGAGAGTTTAAATTTAGATGATTCGTCAAACCGAAAGTACAACAAAGATGGCATGGAAGATTCATTGTCTCGAGTACAAGATAACCACAGGGGCTTGTCACGAAATATTTATCTTCTTTTAATAAAGTGTATTTTTATAGTAGAGGTAACTTTATTAAAAGAAGATAAATATTTCGTGACAAGCCCCTGTGAGATAACTAAAAGACTTCGACAATCGGGTCGTTTTTTGTCTCTGTAAGTTGAAGAAATACAGAGTAACAAATAAATGGTTCTCTTGTCGAAAGTCATTATCGTTTGCTTACATGTTTGTACATAGGCTTAGTACATAACCATTTTCGAACCACGTACGGCTCTGAAAGTATTCAGGTACCTAACTACTTTGCTTCAATATTCCGATTTTTATATGTCGTTTTTCTCTTCTCGATTGTTTGAATTAAAATATCGTCCCCTGGGGATTGACTCAGGATTTTGAAAAAAAATTATGGAAAACTTTTTTTTTACAATGTATATATCATACATAAAACAGTTACTGCACAAATATTAATGCTCTGTTATTTGGTATATCCTTGCACTGAAACATAAAATAATTATTGATAAAAAACCCCCCAGAATATTTCATTTAAGTAGGAAAGGACATTGATACATTGACAAAAAAATTCCTTAATACACATAATCTGTGACATATATGCTGAAAATTTGGAAAAATTTGTTTTAAAGCTAGTGCACAATAATCTTTAGCTATCATTTGTAGTGCTTTGGGTATACAATGTAGTGTATTGCTGCACATGTCATTAGACTGATAGGTGTCCTGGGTTCGATTCTCTGGAAGTTGAAAAAATACAGAGTAACAAATAAATGGTTCTCTTTTGTCGAAAGTCATTATCGTTTGCTTATATACTTGTACATAGTACATAACCATTTTCGAACCTTTTGGGCCTCTTGTTATATGTTTGCTAGAGCCAATTTCCAAATTGATGATAAAATTACATATTTCTCATCTACGGTATATACAATATGTATAATAAATGAGAAAAACATACGTCGAACAGACCAAGGGGTCTATATCAGATGGGGAATGGGGATATTTCTGTCTTCAAGCACCCGTGAATAGTATAGCAATAGGTATCAGTCGCTAATAAGATAATGTGCAATTTTATGCATTACCATGATTACTGTAATGATAGTTAGACTTAAACCCACAAATAACAATATGACAGTAACAAAGAAGGGAATACATGTATAAGATGATAAATAGGAATGCCTATGAGATCATAGAGGGTGATATAAAAAGGAATAAGGAAAAGGATAAAATTTCAATCCAACATTTCACAAAATCAACTCTGTTAGTTAAGCCGAGTGCTTACAATTTTTGGCCGTCTATGCATTAAATATTCAACTTATGATTTAAACCATACTTATTACTGTTCTATTATCGATAGTTTCAAATATTTAAAGCGATTTTTACACCCAAATCCTAAAAGTATAGATGTTAAAAAGATTTTTCAAATTATCATTTTTCAGCAAATTTGGTTTAAAAATGTGAAATTTTCTTGTTTGATGCCCGCTGCCCCACTTAATTTTTATGCCATATAAGGGAGAGAACATTGGAAAATAATGTGTTAATTTTAAAAAGAAATCTGTAGTCAGAATATCAAGCAGCAATTTATTTTTACTAGTAATGAACTTTATAAGTTTGAGCTAAATATGTTTAATTCGCCCTAGAAAGTAATATTAGGTGGATCAGCAGATTAAAAAAATAATTAAACATTCAAACAAGCATATTTTCTCTATGATTCATATGTTAAAAAAATTCTTTTGCTTTTAATTTTAGAAAGCTAGAATAAATATCTTAATTTCCGCATTTCCGTCATTTCACGAGACAATGTCTATTTTTAGTAAAAATCCTTTCAAAAGGAGGCCCGGTTGACCCCAAAATTTACACTGATCTGGAAAGGACAAATACTCAGTTAAGATTCTGAAAAGTTTCAACAAAATCTGTAGTTCCGTTATTTCTATAGGATGGTATGGATCTTTACCTTAAGAAGTCTTTTTAAACTTAGAAAAATACAATAACTTATACAACTTTTATTGTTCAATTCATTTGCATTAAATTTGTTTGTAAAAAGTTTTTGGCAAGTCTGACTTCAGCTTTGAAATGATGTGCTGTAGAAGGATAATTAAACCTATGGTACATTTTTTCTGCACATTGCTTGGATTAAAAGAGAGTTGACACTGCCAATCTCTCATAAGTTGTAAATAACACTGCTGTATCAACAATGGAATCAAAGAGTAAATTTGAATTCAAAATTTAAATTCTTAATCTTAGGATCCAGTGCGGGAGCTGGCAGTGGGGACTTCCATGTGTACAGAGGAGTCAGACGCCGAGAGTATGCTAGGCAGAAGTTTATCGATGAGAAGGCAGAAAGGGTAGGTTCATGACAGATGGATAAAACATTACACTGTGTATAGTTTCTACCACAGTCAGGTATCTTAATGTCATGACTAACTCTTCTTACTTTGACATACACATATTCGTGAGTCTAGCTAATGAATTACATCATACTTTCAAATGATAACTTGGAAAGTATCTTGCAGATGGAAAAGGATGAAGAATTTCACAAAAAAGTAGAGGAAAATCAAAAAGCAGCAGAGGAAAGGACAGCTAAGAAGAGGGCAAAAAGGTGAGTAAAAGGCCAAGAGAAATGAAATCTTGACAATACATGATCTGTTAAATACTAGCTCATATAATGTGAAGATGTATATTTGATATACTTGAATCTGATTAAAAGACATGTGGTTGACTATAGGCTTTGTCTAAACTCATTTACTGGATCTTTTAACCTGACTATGTCACATTTAACTAGAACTTTACATTTTCCTATACTCTAGTACTCTACAGCTATCATTTAATTATGTAGACAATGAAATATTTCCCTCCATTCAATTTTGAACCAGGTGAAAAGTAATCTAAGTACCCATTTTCAATATGATATTAGGAGTAAACATATAACCATTTTCTGGGAGACTGCAGGCAATCTGGATACATTTCTTTTGCATTATATGGGAAAAGCTTACAAATTTTTTATCTAATTATCTTCTTTTCTCATTGAAAATGACAGATAGTGAATCAAGTATGATCATTAAACCTTAAAGAAATTCCTTTCCAAGTTTAAAATGGAAAAAATAAGATTTTTATTCTTCAAAGTCTTAATTTGCAAATCCAAGATGTTTGTTTTTGTCTTTTTGTAAATAATGAACCAAACAGACATTTTTTAACACAGTAAATAAAATAAACAAAATGTTTATAGAGACCTGTTTAAAATTCTCAACCATTGAATCACAAATTAATTTATCAAAGGGGAGATTTATTTCATTGAGTGTTTTAGAAGAAGCTGACAAACCCAGAGATTTTTTCCAGCTTTGGATGATGAAATGTGAAAAACTTTTCTTTGAAACTAACAATATCGTATATCTGTCTAGAAAGTAAATTATTTAGGATAAATTATATTCTAATAAAAAAAGTACATTTTATTCCAGAAATAAAAAGAAACAGAAACAAAAAGCGAAAAAGAGCAGAGGTACTGAAGAGAAAGGTATGTTGTATGGACTTTGATGTTGAATACTGTTCTTTATCTCCATATCCTTCATGTGGAGGTTGTAAAATTATTCCAGTTGTTATTTTCTTCTCTTCTTTTATAAGAAATACATATATAATTGACTTAAAATATATTATGAAGATCCTTTGTCACTAAACAGGTGTGTGAAAGTTGATCAATTGCTCGATAGGTAGAGCATTTGGATGGTATTCAAGCCTTCCATGGTTTGAGTCACATCAGAGTTAATTTATTAACACTCATGACATTTGGCATACAAGTAATTCAGGAGACCTGGGTTGAAATCCTGGTCATGGCACCAATAATATCCAAAGAGAGAGGAAAATGTGATGAATCAGACAAGGTTTCGAACCCAGGCCCCTTGAGTCACCAGTCAGGTGCTCTACCAACTTTGCCATGTTGCATATTAGGCTACATAAAATTAAAATTCTGGTTCTCAGGCCCGCACACATCCATTCTGAGGTAGCCGCATTACTAATTTTATTGTATTTTTGATAAAATAAAAAGTTGGCATTGTGGAGATGAATCCAGGAAAAAAAGTTCCGTCTTCATTTTTTCGTAGTTTAGTATTCAAATATCACTTCCAGTAGCCATTTTCAAAGAGATTTTGGCTACTTTGTTTGAAAATACATTTGAAGACATTGCCTACGATGTTCATACACTGATAAGCAATGGATAAAGCAGAACTTTTGATCAGACATGGAAAGTATATCTGTGATTATAAAAAATTATCTTTATGTTAAAGAAAATTCGAAAATTAAAATTAAAAAAACCTCCCTCATCTACTTTATTACCAATAAAATGATAAATAAAATGCCTCCCTCAGTCCCTCAGGCATCTGTTTTTGAGAAAATTGGCCTGAGAACCAGAGAAATAAATTTAGATAGCCTTACTGTAAGGTAGTTTCACTTACAGAAGAGAACAAGAGTGAAGAAGAGGATAGTGATGAGGAAGAAGATGAAAATAAGGAAGAAGAGGATAGAAGTAAAGAATCAGATAAAGAGGTCAAAGGTGAAAGTAAGGAGGAAAAAGATGGAAGTAAAGACTCAGATAAAAGGCCTACAACCTCTGGAGACATTAGTGAGGCAGACATTACTAATGGGGAAGACGGTCGGTGACAAAACATTGGAATTGTTTCTGGTCACTTGGAAGTGATTGCTCATGTCCATTTGGAGTGATAAGCAGTAAATCTTTCTCCATTCTTACAGGGTGAAAAATACCATAAAGAAATGATATGTTAGTATTGTTATTAAACTGAATTCAGATGAAAATATTGAATCAAAGAAGAGTGTGGAATTTGTTGACAGAAGACTCTGAAATAAGATACTAATTGTTATATCTATATGTATATACTCTGTAAGCAGAACTTTGTCTATTACTGAGGAAAAATGCATAAGGAGTTAGTATTTGTTGCAAAGTTTTCATTTGTAACAATATTGATGCAATTTTTATTGTTTAAGAAAATAAAGAGTAAGCAAGTTTTTTTACATTTGCACAGAAAGCTTAAGTATCATTGTCATCACATTTTCTCATTATCTCTCTCGTGTTTTTCATCGTTGTGTTATCATCATCGCACCATCACTTCATCCTTTGTACAAATGTACAATTGCATCATTGTACAGTACCATTGCATTATTGTACCATTACTTCATTGTACCATTGCCATTGACCCTTTAGTTAATGCTCGAAGGTGCCTACATGTATGTGGCTTCCGTAAACCTTTGATACAAAAATAACTTTATATTAAGATTATTTATGTTTCTGGAAAACTGTTTAATAGCTTATTTTTTTTTACGAATAAATTTTCTTTCTTATTTAATCTCAATACAGCTTGTATATGATTGCATACTTAATGTTTTGAATGGAAACATTTTTACCATTTGTACCTTATTACCTTTGAAAGTGGTTAGTCAGTTCTGCTTACAAAGGTAAACACTCACAGATGCTTTCTTTCTTTCAAGATTTTAGTAATTCTATCAGTGTTAAAAAACTACATCTGTACATTGTTTCCAATATTTACCTTGCCATTTTTTCCTATGGAAACCTAAATACTCTGTTCATTAAATTATCTCAGTTCCTTGGTATTTAAGTATTAACGTGTTTTGAAAAAAATTAAGAAAGAAAAGGAAAATTTAATTGAAAGAGCAATCATTCTTCATTTTTGAAGAAAGATCTCAGAAAGTAGTACATGTAGCTAAAACAAATATAAGTTTTATCCCTTCTAGATTCTTAGATTGTGCTTTCCGTGGCTTTGAAAATGCAGACAACATTTTGTAATAAAGAAATTGGCATTACATGCAAAATACATGTGTAATGTTTGCATAAAAGGTTTATTAAACTTTAAAGCCACATGTTTACCCTAATAATTTAATTTCAATTGTATCAAGCAATTTCATTGGCTGAATCATTAAAAATTAATATTTTGTTTTTATTTTTTAGCGTCAAAAACGTATTAATGTTAGCAATTTTAAAATATCACTATATTTGAAGCCTTATTACAAATGTTACATTGTCTATACTAAAATTAAAAAAAAAAATTTCCACTTATGTTTATGATATAACATAACTTGGGGCTGTTTATGCTTTTTTTATAAACCGCTGCGGTTTATGCCACCCATTCGTATAATATAAGTTGAAAACAGCAACTATATATTGCGCACAAATTTAGTGATTTGTCCTTTAAAATTGTTTTTTTTATTTTTAGCGAGATGTAACTTTAGCGATTTTAAAAAGCTCACTAAAGAAGCTATTACAAATAAAGCACAATTAATTTTTAGCGATTTTAAAATTTAGTGATCTTTGCACCCTCACTAATAGTGCCAAAAGGAAATTCTCGCTAAAAATTCTGCATGTACGTATGAAAAAGCTGCAGAATTGTAGCTCTCCTCTCTGAAAAAAATATTCAGTTTGATAGACTGGAGAGCTACAGTGCCACCCATTGAAAAAAAAAATGTATATTTATTGCGCACAAAAAAGTCAAAATATTTTTCGTAGAGCTACAGTTCTGCAGCTAACGCTTTACAAACAAGTTATTATATTGATGGCCATTTACAAGGCAGGGAAATTTTCTACTTCCATTTTTATTGAAGATGCACATATCTGTGATATCAGAAAGCCCATAAATTTTAGTATATGATGAGGAATGGTTTCAAGGATGAAGTATAGAGAAGAACCTTTGAAAAGTGTGGCGAATTTAAATTTTCTGTGTTTCAGAACTTACACCACTGACTTCTAGAATTTAATGTCACAGTAGCATATGTTTATGTTTCTTCTTTAAAACAGCAGCGAAAAGATTGTAAGGATAGAGTTTACAAAGCATTCTCTCTTGACAATGAAATTCAATATATGTATCTCTTTGTTGACCGAAATGAATTTTTACTGTTAATATAGTTTTCTAATTCTTTGATCACCTCCATTTAGGGAAATCGAAAGGATAGATGGTTCACATATTATTAAATTTCTTTATGATGTAATCCATTCTGACAAAGTGTTCAGGCTCTGAGGCAATAAAACTGAGGTGAGCTCATTTTCCACTATTAATCCTTTTTGAAAAAGTAAGACTGAGATCAAAAGTGAGCTCAACTCAGTTTCTTGGCCCCGGGGCCTGAGCATAAATTCTTAAATAATCTTCGACAGAATTCATAATAGAAATGAAGTACTGCCACCAACTGAAAGATCGGTAATCCCTGTATTTAAGACCTTTATATAAAGATGATTTAATATAAACAAGCAATAAATTGTTAATAAATACTGCACAGTATCAACTTTTTGCAGACGATTCTATAGTTACCTTTATCAAATTAAGATTAGATTAGAACTAGATTAATATTATTATGGTTGTTTTACATACAGACATACACAGTATTGCAAATTCTTATTAATTTTATAATAAAAACATTTCATATCTAAAATAACACACACAACAATTATTTCATATCTAAAAATAAAACAATACACATGAAGAAATATGCTTTAACATGCTTTTTTAAAAGCATTGATGTTTCTGCAAAATTTTTGCAATATTGTTATGATATATATATATATATATATATATATATATATATATATATATATATATATATATATATATATATATATAGAATTGAAATATAAACGCTATATTCAAATGTTCTTACTTTGGATAATATAATTTTATCCCTACAAATTAAGCTGCTTAAAACCATTTTAAGAACTATTATTTCCCAGAAGCGTTTCATTTTCCGTGCATATAAAAAGATATCCCCATTTCAAAATTGCAGTCCTTTGAATATCCTCACAAAAAATCAAAGACAAGGTAAATGAACAGAAAAAACACCATATTGTATCATTTGCAAAAAGAATGATTTTATACTAGTCTAACATTATATTACTTCTTCCATTTAATGATTAATTTTAAGAAAAGAAGTAGCAAAAACAAAAATAAAACAACAACAACAACGTATCTCTCGTCCCATGAAAAAGAAAACAAACCATCTAAAGAAAAAGGAAAAAAATACTTGTCAATATACTAGGAGTGTGAGATCTACAATGTAGAAGTAAAAATAATAAGAGGCCCATGGGACACATCGCTCACCTGAGCACTGTGGCTAAGAAAAAAGCAGAAATCAGTTTAATATTGAAAAGTTTAAACCCAAAAGTGGCCCCAACCAATCCTTAAAGGGGAGAGGGTATGATTTGAACAAAGTTGAATCTACACTAACTAAAAGGATGCTTGCATATTTCTTTGTGGGCCATTGTGTCTCAGCCCTACCCCAAGGGGCCATTATTTGAACAAACTTGAATCTACAATACCTGAAAATGCTTCCATATAAATATGATCAATCATGGCTTTTGCTATTCTTGAGAAGAAGATTTTTATAGAATTCACCCATATATTTCTATGTAAAACTTTGATCGGCCATTGTGGCTCCGTCCATGAATTAAACAATCTTGAATCTACACTACATAAGGATGTTTCCCCTTAAGTTTCATCTTTCTTGGCACAGTGGTTCTTGAGAAGAAGATTTTTAAAACATGCTACAAAATTTTCACAATTTCTGAATTATCTCCCCTTGAATAAGGGCGTGGCTCTTCATTTGAACAAATGTGAATCCCCTTCAACCAAGAATGCTTTGTGGCAAGTTTTGTTAAAATTGCCCCAGTGGTTCTGGAGAAGAAGTCAAAAATGTGAAAAGTTTACAGAAAGACAGACATACAGATGGGCGCCAGACAAAATGTTATCAGAAAAGATCACTTGAGCTCTCAGCTGAGGTGAGCTAAATACAGAATCCGTGACAAATTTTTCCTAATGCAGAAAAGAAATAAGTTTTAAACGTCATTCTCTGTAGCGACTTGAACATTGTATAGGAAGCGCAGCACGCATAGTTGGTATGTGTCCAATAGTCTTAAGTTTAAAAAGAAATTACAGGGTCCCTTTTTTAACTTTCGTAGTCCTGGAGAAAAAGCACATTGACTGTTTCCATCTTTTTCTTTTCACCTGAAAATACCAAGATACACAATTATCTTTGTAAAGGGTATCTTTACAAATCAATATTTTAATTGCAGTTGTAACATATCATTTGATTTGACAAAATATTTAGTTTGAATCGTATAACATAAGTTGCCTACGTGAAAATTAGTTTCGTCAAAAACATATAACTCCGCTTGACGCTACTTTTAAAATATAAATGTCGAATTAAATTATAAGGATGAAACCTATTTTAATATATGTAATACGATATAACATAATTTGGGACAGAAAAATGCAATTTTAAAATGCTCCCTCTGGTATTTCTCACCTTTAAAAGTGGTCTGATCAGGGAATTCAGCAGATTTATTCCTGAAGGAATTGTTTTTGTCAGGTTAATATCTTAAAAATGTCAAAATTGACGAGGACTAGAACAAATTGGTATATGGATCAATTTGGTAAACACAACAATAAGGGTAGGATTTTTTTTTTTACTTTTCATATTATATTCCAAGCATTTGAAAGTACTCAGAGGAAGGCTTACCTTCATTTACTTCTGTTTCACTAAGGCCACGTAGTGATAACGATAAGTTCTAGGCCAATCAAAACTCCAAATACCATACTGACTCCTGTCCCATGTGAAGATCCCACATTTTTTGCTGAATCAGAATTTGTAAAATCTATTCAATATACATGTATATATAAAGAAATTTTTTGAAAATTGAAAGTAAAGGTAATAAAGGTAATAAATAATAAATAAACGCATAGAAAATGATAGTTTTATATCAAATGTTTAATGACTGTCTTCCACTAATTAACAATTTTCAATTGATTCTTAATATAACTTGAAAACAAAGTTTTCCTCATGACATAATTAATTATTCTTTTTAAGGTAGTCCGATCCTCAGGTTTATAAAATTAGCAGATAAGTTATAAAAAATGCTCATAAAAGTATCTCTGAATCCACAAAGTTATGTAAATTTATCCACAGTCTTTCTTTAAAGTTATAGATTAAAGTTAATCATATAATATAAGAAAGAATGTCAAATATCCAGTATTTTTGCAGAAGAAGCGAAATGGAATATCAGCAATGCATTTTCTTTGCATTGCAAATTGATCAACAAATATATTTTATGTTAAAAAACGATAGGTATCCAGGCATTCGGAGAAATTGTCATGATTTTTATACTTATTAGGTATTTTTTGTCTTCTATTTCCGTCATGTATTCTATAATACCTAGTGTAAAAGGATTTTGCTATCATTGCAAGACACCACAAATCACTTCTTATTTCATATCATGCTAATAAGCATTGATATCAAAGGCTGGATTCAAGAAAATCTTATTTATCTAAAACTGTATTATTTTTTTCCCCTTTATAGGGTACAAATGTCAATTTTTATAAGAACTTTTCTAAGACTTGCAAGAACCTTGAATCTTATAGAGATGAATGAAATGAAAATTGTTGCATGAAAAAATTTCATTTTCAAGCTTCATTTTGAAGCATTTCAAATTAAATATTAATTTTTGGAGTTATCCTTGCTGGCCGAGGATCGGATATTCTTAAGAAAAATTAAATATATGTAGTGTAAATATAACATAAAGATCCATACATATAATTCTGCAAATATTTAAAATGAAAAAAAGGAAATGTAATCTTAAGGACTGGAATAATTATTTGTTTTAGCCCACCTGAGCCGAAGGCTCAAGTGAGCTTTTCTAAGCAAAATTTGTCCGTTGTCTGTCGTCGTTGTAAACTTTTAATATTTTCATCTTCTTCTCAAGAATCACTGGGCCAATTTTATCCAAACTTGCCACGGAGTATCCTTGGGTGAAGGGAATTCAAGTTTATTTGAATGAAGGGCCACGCCCTCTTCCAAGGGGAGATAATCATGCATTAGAGAAAAATTAATCGCATTTTTAAAAAATCTTCTTCTCAAGAACTACTGGGCTAGGAAAGATGAAACTCATGTGAAATTATCCTCAGGTAGTGTAGATTCAAATTGTTCAAATCATGACCCTGGGGGTAGGGTGGGGCCAAAATAGCCGATCAATGTTTTACATAGGAATATATAGGAAAAATCTTTAATAATCTTCTTCTCAAGAACCACTGGGCCAGGAAATATGAAACTTACCTGAAATTATCCACAGGTAGTGTAGATTTAAGTTTATTTAAATCATGACCCCCGGGGGTAGGGTGGGGCAAAAATGGCCTATCAAAGTTTTACATAGGAATATATACAGAAAACTTTTAAAATCTTCTTTTTAAGTACTTAAAAGCCACGATTAGAGATATATATATGGAATCATCCTCGGGTAGTGTAGATTCTAGTTTATTCAAATTATGACCCCCTGGGGGTAGGGTGGGGCCAAAATTGCCGATCAAAGTTTTACGTAGGAATTATTGGGAAATCTTTAAAATCATCTTCTCAAGTACTTCAAAGCCATGATTAGAGATATTTATATGGAATCATCAGCAGGTAGTGTAGATTCTAGTTTGTTCAAATCACAACCCCAAGGGATAGGGTGGAGCCACAATGGGGGATTCAAGTTTTACATTAAAATATATTTAAAAAGTCTTCTCAAGAATAGCAAAGCCATGATTAGTGGTACCAGTATTTATATGGAAGCATTCTCAGGTAGTGTAGAATTAAATGTGTTCAAATAATAACCCCCAAGGGTAGGTTGGGGCCACAATGGTGGATCAAGGTTTTACATAGAAAAATAAAAGGAAAAATCCCAAGAACAGAAAAGCTATGGTTAGTCATATTGGCGTGTAAGCATCCTCATGTATTTAAGATTTGTTCAAATCATGGCCCTTTAGGATAGGGAGGGAAAAATGGGGGATCAAATTCAAATTATTACGAAATAATATATAGAAACAATTAAAATGTTTTAAAAAGAAATCTTTTTATCAATAACAGCAAGGTCATTGCTGTATTGATATGAATTTAAGGCATTATAGTATTAAAATTAAAGCCCACCCCCACCTCAGTAAACTTTCAGTTCTGATCTGATATGTGTTTTTCCTAGCGGCTGTGCTCAGGTTAGCGATGTGGCCCCTGGGCCTCTTGTTTCTATCAGTCTGGAATTAAATAAGGAGATCTGAGAGGCAGCAAAGAAGTTTTAAAGCGCTCATTTTAATCAGCCCAGTTCTCAATTGATTTCAAGATTCTTCTAAATGGGAAAATAGAAAAAAAAATTCTCATGTGCATTTCATTAGAGGTAAATACAAAAAAGGTTATCAGTTAAATGAAGCAATTACAAATTATCTGAAAGAGTTCCAAACCTGAATTCTAGGCTGTTATAGGAAACAATCATGTAATGTAATAATTTTGGTTTCATTTCAAGAATATTTGGTTTCATTTCAAGAATAAAAAAGTGATTTGATGACTTTTTAAATTTCCCATTAACCAACAATGCAATTAGAAATTACAAAAAAAGATAATGATTGCAGTTGCTTTTATTATACATGATTATAATATGAACCAGGAACAGGAAATAGCGTCTTTTATGCAAGGGTAACGATTTATATATCTGACATGTACTTGAAAAAAAAGAATAGTGCAGATACGCTTAAAAATATACTCACAGTGATCCTTTGTGATCTTTTGCTCAACGACTGTAGTTTCTTCAAAGACATATATGTCTCCACATCTTAATTTACTTGTGATTTTTCATTTTTAAAATTTCTTTTCTCAAAATACATTTGTTGAATGAGATTTCTTTTTATTCTAAAAAAAGCAGCAAGTTATCGAATGACTTTTTATTTTCAATACGACTGCAAACTGAGTATGTATATAATTACATACTCTCTGTTTTCTCCCACTGTGACTCTGTACTCTTGAGTTGCTTTCAAAGCTTTCAAACAACACTTTTTCAGCTATGGGTACAGTTTGTATCTCATACTCGCACAGTACAATTTACTCCAAATAGATATCTCATTCATATCGCCTAAAGCTTTACTAAAGTTTTTCGTGTTTTTCTTCTTCATTTTAAGTATAGTTAAAATTGCTGAAGAAGATGATTTTTTTAATCGATCAATTTTATTCAATATATTTAATTGATGGTGAAATGTTCTAGAAAAAAAAAACAGGCATAATACTCTCGTTTGACTATTAGGCAGCTTCTTGTTTTGCAAGGTTACATAGAAAACTGAATATATCTTTATGCACATCAAAATTCCAAAATGCAATAAAGAACGTACCTTCGGGCACAATGAGCATTTGTTCCTCACAGTTTCCGGCTGTATTACAGCAGGAGTAGCCAACAGAGACACCACTTGTACAGTTTCTCACCTCTGTGTAACCATTCACTGTTTGTGTCGTGCCTTTTTCGTCACCGTAAAACTTAAAAATTTCATGTCACTTTTATAACAACTTATGTTCCTCTCAGGAATTTAAAATCAGTTATCATATAAATAATGAGACTTACCGATACATGGGTTTATTGGATTAAATTATTTTAAGTATTAGTATACTTAAATACGTAAACATTCAGAAGAGGCATGCGTGGGGTTGGGGCGTAATAATCATTATATCGAAAATTATTTTAATCTTTTAAAAGAAATATGTAATACGATATTTTATACAAATCATTTTGAAGAAAATTATTAATTTTGCAAAACTTAATAATTATCTCAAGTTTTTGGTCTTACATGTACTCATAAGTTCTTTTGCAAAATGGTCCCCTGAACTAAGTCTTTGAAATTAGTTTAAAAAGATTAGTCGGTTTTGCTGGAAAACACGGTGTAATTTATTATTATTTATCATAATTGCGTTCTGTCAAAAAAGGAGCATGTAGACTTTAATTTATCAATCACAAGTTATGATTGCCCTTTTGATTAAGCCTGTGTCGCTTGATATGCATTGCAAGAGAATAAGGTCTGGGATATTTTTTTCATTAATTGTAATGTCACTAGATAAATAGTTATTTAAATCTTCAATCTAATATAATTCAGCAGTATTTGCCCTTTCTTTTACACTTTTTTCTTACTAATGAGATAAATAGGGCAAATAATCATTCAACCGACATTATTTGATTCAGGATAAACCCACTTTCCTTTATACAGTATAATTTCGATGTAAAATGTGATACCGTTGTTAGGTTTCCGTTCTCTCCTGTAAAACATGTTGATACTACACATCCATCTACTTGCTCGGGTTTTCCAAAGCAAAGATCTAAGAAAATAATCCAATAATGTTAATATCAATAGAAAAAGTCGACTTCAACAAGAATAATGCTTTAAAATGTATGGATCTAATTATAATTAAACAGGAAACAAAGGGAGTTTGAAGAGTGTTCATGAAGTAGTTTACAAAATCAAACATATAAACAAAAAATTCCCCTTTCTTTCAAATCTTTCTGACAATTATAATTGTATGGTGGCATATTTTTGCCCCCTACATTCAAGATAAATTATTTTAACATCCAACATAATTATGAAGACATGCGACTCATTCATGTCAACATACAAAATAATCATGCTGGCATACAAGTTACCAATCTCTTTAGAGAATCTAATTTTAATATAAGTAATCTTACCTACTTACGCCATTACATGTTAAAACATTTTGACAGAATAAGTAGCATGTTAAAATAAAAAAAGTACATGCTGACATGATTATCTTGCAGATTGACATACATGAGTCGCGTGTCTACATCATAATGTTGCATGTGAACATAAATAAGTCACATATTGACATAAATATCTTGCATGTTTGCATAATTATTTTGCATGTTAACAAAGATAAGTCACAACTAAACATAATTTCGTTGCATCTTGCTTGTACATGTATGATGCAAGATACTGGCGTTAGTGAGTAAATTTGCCCACAAAATTTAATTTTTTTTTATAAGATTAGTAACTTCATGTTAACATAATTATTTTCTTTTAGACATAATAATTATATGTTGACATATTTTTATTGCATGTTGACATATAATTTATCCTGCTTGTAGGGAACAGAAATAAAATATGATACCATATTATTGAAATATCAATCACTATGACACTCTTTAAACCTTTTCTCTTGACAAACCTTTAACCGACAATCGTAAGAGATACTCAGATGTTTGTTGTGTGACGTTGACATAATTAATCACCAGAACATATTTAGACTCATCACTTTTCTGCACATTCAGTAAAACTAAATTTCTCAGATGATGGATCATTATGATTGTGGAGGAGTCGATTTTCGGCATCTCTGTAGATTTCAAACTTGTTTTCAGCTACAGTATATTTGGCGAAGCTGGGATCCCCCGATACATCCTGTTTGTACCAAATATAACTATCTACAGTATGGTCCTTCTTCTCAGGTAGATCAAAGGAAAAGTAACATTGTCACTTATGCAGCCAACGATAGTTTTTTGGATTTCTTGACCAATTACTGCAAAGAAAATACAGACTTTACGGAATGTGGTGTGGACGTTTCCTAGATGATTGATATATGCTTACACTGCATGTCGCCATGTGTGTCTAACCTCTTCCGCAAAAAAGTAATTTGAGAAATTAATTCATTTTCTACTTTCTGAAATATGTATTTGACCCTTTTTCAATTGTTTTCTAATAAAAGTTACATTATTAAAGTAATTATTAATATTACAAAGAAAAAGGAGTGTATGGACATTTTCATTTGGTTCGAACTTAGCACAGACATACTGAATATAGTGATGAGATATGACATTATAAATCGTAATAGAAAATGGATTCAAGCATACAAACCTTGATAAGCAAACGCACATACAGCAAGAAGACCTGCTTGACTGTGTAGTGGACTCATAATCAATGAAGAAAAATCAAAAACACAAACCGAAAGCTTTAATCGTGCAAAACATATCATAATCACATTAACCAGGAAATAACAGTAAAACGTATACTACAAAAAAGGAAGGAAAAGGATGATTAAAGTGAGTAATGTTTCAACTTTCCTGGATATATAGATAGGCAAACTAAATTAATTTGGAGAAAAAGTACGATATTATAACCGTGTCTAGCTAATTGAACTCTTTAACTGGACGAGATATACTTGAAGGATTTGCAGGTATCGTCATTTTTAGTCATTAAGCAGTTTTAAGAATTACAAAAAAATGAAGTCTGTATTGCAGAAGTTAAAGAATAATGTTACGGCAATTGAATATATTCATTGTTACTGGCTATGTAAGGTGTTTATTTGGCAGCTTGGTTAGTCCTTTTAACATCCCTTCGATATTTTTTAAATCATCCGGGCCCCCACTTCCCAGGGGTAAACTATCCAAAACTGGAACAGATGTGTCAGACTGTACATGTTTTTCTTTTATTTCAAGCTAATCAATTTACAATTAACACAGATGACAGAAAAACTTCACTATAATTAATCCAACTTTGTGGTGTCAACAATTGATGATTGAATTCAAATACATTTACTTTTCACATAGTCATGAATCCCGTGAGGATCCGAGTTAGAATAGGTCCTCAGTACCCCCTTGCTTGTCGTAAAAGGCGACTAAATGGGGCGGTCCTTCGGATGAGACCGTATAAACCGAGGCCCCGTGTCACAGCAGGTGTGGCACGATAAAGATCCCTCCCTGCTCAATGGTCCTGAGTGCCGAGCATAGGCCCAAATTTGCATCCCTTCACCGACAATGGTTACGTCTCCATATCAGTGAAATATTCTGGAGAGGGACGTTAAAAGTCAATCACATAGTCATGACATAACTTATACTAGTTCTTAAGAGCATTCTTGAAGGCATGTTTTGTAAGGTAAATCACTTCAAAATGTCAAAATTGAGGAAGAATAGAACAATTGGAATAAGGGTCATATTGGTAAACACACCAACAACAGTAAATTTTTAACTTTTTGAATTATACTTCAACCATTGGAAAGTACTCAAAGATAGACTTACCATCATTTATTTCTGTTTCACTACGGACATATAATTCTAATATTCGAATGAAAAGTTCAAGGCCCATCAAAACTCAAAATACAATTATACTAACTCCTGTCCCATGTGAAGATCCACTATTTTTAGCTGGATCAGAATTATCAAGATCTATAAAGAAATTTTAAAAAATGAAAGTGAAGGTAATTAACGCATAGAAAATTATACTTACATATCGAATGTTTAAAATGGGCACGCAGCAATAGCTCATAAATGCAAAAATGATGTCAAAGAAAAAAAATGATAAAAGCATTAATACAAAATTTACTTTCACTTAAACAGGGCGTGATTTTCAACTATAAGTCTTAATAAAGGATGCATTTTTTTCACTCTCGCAATATGCAGTTTATTATAGGATACGCTTGGTAATCTTCACCTTTTTCATCGCAAAAATGCTACAAATTATTGAATTTGAATGATTTTGCAAAATTTAGATTAAATTTTACAATTTTTAGTTTTGAATTTGTTGAAAATTTTAAAGCGAATAAGAAAAGAGATTTGATGACTTTTTGCAACTAACCAATAATGCAATTTAAAATTACTAAGAAAAAATGATTGCAGGTATTTTTATTTAACACCTTAACAATGTAAACCAGGGAAAGGAAATAGTGTCTTTTATACAAGGGTAACAATATTATCGTATAGCAGGTTTTCTTGCCGGGTGTAAAATTTGGCGTTTTGCCTCTTCAAAGGTAGGCTAATAATATTGGCGTAATTTATTTTAGCGGACACAGGGTTTCAGCCCTTTGCAGATAAACACTAAGAATATTACTGACTATTTTAGCGATTAAAATTTTAAAACGCCAAAAAGAAGCTAAAATTAGCACCCCGGTAAAATAATCTGCTATAGGGTATATATCTGACATGTATTTAAACAAGAGGCCCATGGGCCTTATAGGTCACCTGAGCATCAAACTTTACAACGATTGAATTTGGTTCATGTTTTAAACTAGACATCATGGCATTCACAATTTTGAAAGAGGCCCCATTCCTAATCTTAACTTTACACTTAGCCTGTTGAGTTTGGTTACTTAATACCCATAGACAGAGTAGGGGAACAAAAAAAAATCCATTTCGACTAATCAGTAATATTCAGCAATAATCACTATAGTGTCACTACCCCTGACCCTTGGTCCACACATTCCACAAATTTGGAAAAGGCACCCTTGCTTATCAAAAATATTTAATTAATACAAACGGGCAGATTTCAAATAATTAATTCATTTTCAGTATATAAGTAGAGCCACCCCCCCCCCCCTATGGTACCCCTGACCCACAGGCGTTGAAATTCACAATTAAGGAAGAATGGCCCTTGCCCTTCATAGCTATATAGGTAGTTTATCTGCTTAATACCCAGGAGCAGAGAAGAAAATTTTCAAATAGTTTCTGCATTTTCTCTATATAACCGATAGATCCCCGCCCTAACAACAGAACCCCTGAACCTAGGGTCACAAAATTCACAAAGACATTCTTCTTCATCATGACTATATATGTACTTAATTAGTTTATTTAATACTCAGGAGCAGAGAAGAAAATTTTCAAAGAATTTATGTATTTTCACTATATAATCAATAGAGCCCCACCCTTACACCAGAACCCCTGTCCCTGGGGCCATAAAATTCACAATTTAGAAAGAAGCATTCTTGCTCATCATAACGATATACTTAGTTAATTTGTTGAATACCCAGCAGCAGAGAAGCAGATTTTCAAACAATTTATGCATTTTCTGTATAATCAATAGAGCCCCGCTGTAACATCAGAACCCCTGACCCTGGGGCCATTAACTTCACAATTTGGTAGAGGCACTTTTGCTCATCATAACTATGTCCTTAGTTAGTTTATTTAATACCCAGGAGCAGAGCAGAAGATTTTTAAAGAAATAAAGCATTTTAACTATATAATCAATAGAGCCCCGCCCCTTGCACTAGAACCCCTGACCCTGGGGCCATGTAATTCACAATTGTGGTAGAGAACTCAATGGTCATTACATTCATGCTAACAGTTTGACTGCTTGATGTCCAGGAGTAAAGAAGAAGATTTTTAACAATAATAATAAATACTTTATTTAAAGAAGGTAACCTGGTTAGTGCATGCACTATTCTTCCCCAGGGCCTTCTATATATATCAAGTACAAAAAATATACCGAATACAATTCGTCATATATAATAGTAATAGGTTTAAGGAATTACAATCACAAGATTATGAATATAGTGTCCATGTATAGTTAATTAACAATCATATTACAATATACAAAATCGAAACCTTATTGTGCTCAAATAATTGTGCGACAGCTGATGATGTAATTTTCTATATTGCGCCTAAATGTTCATAGAGATTGAGAGAGTCTAATGTGTTGGGGAAGTTTATTCCATAAATGTACACCGGAATACTGAAAGGATGTCTTGAATAAGTTTGTACGAAATTTCGGCAATCTTAGATCATAATTACTTTCAGATCGAAGGTTATAAGAAGTTGAAGAATGAAATTCAAATAAATTACAAAGATATTGGTGAGTCGTTCCACTGAAAATTTTGTATAATAATATGTATTTGTATAGATCAACTAATTCATTAACTGTTAATCATCCAAGTTTCTCAAACAGTGGTTTAGAAGAAGAATCGGGACTTGCGTCAAGAATAATCCTTGCTGCCCTTTTCTGTAATTTAAATAGTCTGTCCATGTCCTGCTTGGGGGCATTACCCCAGATAGTCAAACAATAGTTAATAGATGGTAAAATATAAGCATTGTAATATAGTTTTCTGGTATGTAGAGGGAGAAATTTCTTAATCCTTCGAAGAGTAAATAACTTATAATTTACCGTTTTACAAACCGAATCAATATGATTTGCATACTGTAACTTATCATCAATATGTACACCAAGAATTTTTTCTGTTTCAACTATTTCAATTGTTTTGTCTGAGGCATAAAGTTGTAAATTTGGATTATCTAATTGCACTAATTTTAGTGGTTTTGACCCCACCCCTCAGTCCCCAGGGGGGCAGGGACCATGAAATTCATAATTTTTGTTTCCCTTCACCCATACATGCTTTGAGTAAAATTTGGTGGAAATTGGATGAGAGGTTGCAGAGAAGAAGCTGAAAATGTTCAAATGTTAACACACGACGAACGACGCACGACGACGGACGATAACGGATAGCAATAGGTCACCTGAATTTACTCAGGTGACCTAAAAAAAGAATAGTGCAGACATGCGTAAAAATACTCACAATAATCCTCTGTTATCTTTCTAACAATGACTGTAGTTTCTTCAAAAACATATATGTCTCCGCTTCTTAACGTTTGATTTTAATTTTTAAAATTTCGTTTCTCAAAAATACATTTGCTGAATAATGACAAGTATACCCATAGAGGTTTCGCCATTTAATAATATCATTTTCATTTGTGTATTTTTAAAATGCAATTGCTTATGTAAATATTTGGTAAATATATGTTTTTTCTCCTACTTTGAATCTGCATTCACTATGAACGCAACTTCTTCAGCGATGAGAGCAGTTTCGAATCGTTATTCACACTCTCACAGTACCATTTACTTCATAATTATCGCATTCATAAGCACATATATAAAATGTTGTGCAAAAGAAATGAATCATAGCTTTTGATGAAATTCTGTGGTAAGAAAGATGTCTAAGAATGCTTAAAATTGCTGACTGAGGTGTATTGATATAAAATATTGGTCAATTGATAATTGATGGTGAAATGTTATGGGAATAAATAAAACCAAGCGTATTATTCTCGTTTGATTACTAGACCACTTCATAGTGAATAAGATTACATAAACAATCGAGTGGATCTTTAATCATTTACAACCAAATTCCCAGAGATATGTTTCAAATCAAAGCCGTAATTACCATACCTACAACAGGTTCGGGTACTTTGAATATTTGCTGTTCACATGTTCCGGCTGCATTACAGCATTTATAACTGACGGAGACACCACTTGTACAGTTTCTTACCACTGTGTAACCATTCACTGTTTGTGTCGTGTCTGTCTCATTATCGTGAATCTGGAAATTTTATGACACTATTATATGAACTTATGAAAATTAAAATTCCTCTCGGGAAGTTTAAAATTAGACTTCCGAAATAATGAGACTTACGAAGGCAGGGGTCTATTGGAATAAACTATTTTAAGTACTACTTATACTTATACGTTAACATTTAGGATTTCTATTTCATTGGATAACTTTTTTTTATATAAATCGTCAATATAATATACATCAGCAGCATTTGTCCCCTTAAATATATTTTCTATTACTTATAAAAGAAATAGAGCTAATATTCATTTATTAGTAACCGACATTATTTGATTCAGTTTAACCCCCCCTCCACTTTCTTAATAATTTCGATGTAAAAATGTGTGATACCGTTGTTAGTTGTCCGTTTTTTCCTGTAAAACATGTTGATAGTGCACATCCTTCTACTTGCTTGGGTTGTTCAAAGCAAAGATCTAAGAAAAAAAATTAATATCAATCGCAAAAGTAAGTCGTGACTTTAATAAGAATAATGCTTTAAAAATGTATGAATGTTAATTACAATTACAATGAAAACAAACAGATGTTGAAGACTGTCCATAAAGAAACTTAGATGATAAAGTGCATGAACCTTTATATGTACCTCATATATAAACAAAAATATCCATTTTCTTGTCAATATTCCAGAAAAATTATACTTGATAGATCAGTTAATATTACACTTTTAAAAATATTTTCTCTTTGACATACCTTTTACTGACAATCGTAAGAGATACTCCGATGTCTGCTGTGTGACGTTGACATAATTAATCACCAGAAAATATTTAGAAACGTCACTTTTCTGCACATTCAGTAAAACTAAATTTCTTAGCTGTAATGGATCATTATGATTGTGGAGGAGCCGATCTTGGGCATCTCTGTAGATTTCAAACTTGTTTTCTGCTACAGTATATTTGGCGAAGCTGGGATCCCCCGATACATCCTGTTTGTACCAAATATAACTATCTACAGTATGGTCCTTCTTCTCAGGTAGATCAAAGGACAAAGTAACATTGTCACTTATGCAGCCAACGATAGTTTTTTGGATTTCTTGACCAATTACTGCAAAGAAAATGCAAACTTTGCGGAATATTGAATATACGTTTAATAGATAATTAATATAGACTTACACTACATGTGTATCTAACCTCGTATTAAAAAAAAAAGGATATCGAAAAATCAGATCATTTTTCACTATCTGAAATGTGTACTAAGTATTTTATCCTTTTTTCAATTGTTCTACGATACATTTATAGTATTAAAACCAATATTATTCCAAGGAAAAAAAATGTTTATGTATATTATTACGTGGTTCAGCATGGATATACTGAGCATATAGTGCTGAGATATGACACTATAAATCGACACAGAATATGAATTCAAGCATTATATACAAACCTTGATAAACAAACACACATAAAACAAAAAGACATGGTTGACCGTGTAGTGGGTTCATAATAATGAAGAAAATCACAGACACAAACCCAAAGTTTTAGTCGTGCATAACATACAATTAATACATTAACCAGGAACTAGTTTAAAAAAGGGAGGAAGCGGATGATTAAGTGAGTAAAGTTTCAGCTTATGAAGTTAAGCAATCATTTTGAATAAATATATTATAATAGTGTCTAGGCCATGTTTAAAAATTGTTTGGTTGCCCTTACCTGACCGACTGATTAAAAATTTCCCGACTTTTCAACTTGTTTCTAAATTCCAGGACATTTTTTTTCTTTTTATTCTTCATCCTGTCAATATATATGTTGATATTTTCTGGAAAAAATTAACCAACCTACCTACAGATCCAATACTAGTATATAATCTACCCCGAGTCGGGAGAGGGCAAACAAACATTAGTTTAAAGATGATCCTAACTAATTGAACTGGGATAGTTTTGGTTATATACATATAAAGGGTTCATACACTTAATCATGTAGACAAGTAACCTCATGGACAGTATTTAACATCTCTGTAATTTCTGTGTTATTGTAACGATACATTTTAAAGCAAAATTCTGATTTAAGTCGCGGCTTAAGTTTTCTATTGATATTGGATTTTTTTCTTAGATCTTTTATTTTACAGGAGACAACGGAAACCTAACAATGGTATCAAATTTTTACAACGAAATCATAAAGGAATGGGGTTGTCTTGGAATCAACTAATGTCAATTGAACGATTTTTTGTCCTATTCCTCTTATTAGTATAAGAAGAATATATAAGGACTGGAAAATGTTAATTGCTAAATATATTATACTGAAAGGAAAAAGAAACGCATAATAAACTTTTGAATAAAATTAAAACTTTTATTTCCGATATGTTTTCCAGTATTGTTATCGAACATTTTGATTCAACTTTAAACAACAAGTAACCGAAATCTTGTGTGAATTTGACAGATAATTCCTGAGTTATTGAAATTGATATGTCGATACCCCCCAAAATTCAAATAAAAATTCTCATCATCTCCCTTGCGCATCAGAAACAGCCTTGATTTTCTTGTACATTGAGTTCATCAGATCATTTATCTTTCTCAAGGATTATCATTCAAGCCTTCCGACGGTAGTCTTAATGATTGAGAGTAGCTGTATTATTCCAAAGCCAACAAATCCCCCTGCCCAATGAATTCCACGAATTTTCGATTTAGGATAGAATTTACAGAATCTAGCTGATTTGGTACACGTGAATGTTTGTAAGGAAGTATCGACAAACACTGGCTACATTTTCACAGCGTGAACATGCTAAAAGCAATACGCATACGGCGCGTACGTGCGCGTGTGAGAGTAAAATCGACGTAAAGTTGCCAAGCTTGCGTACCAAATTAGAGCAGAGAGTTTCTGTCAGTATAAGGGTGAAAATATGAGTAGGATTGCCTGCCGTAAAAATATCGGTTTCAGTGATAATGACTTGACAATAACCGAGGTAGCATGATGAAAAGCCCTATCTTGATGTGACGTTGTTACGCGCCAACGTCACCCTCATGGTTGGTTGGAAACCTTTTAAGTTACTCTCTGACAACCGAAAGAACTTTTTTGGTTGAAAAGTTAAAAATAAACTGCACAGCAACATGTTGTTGCCTTTTTATTCACTTATGCAACTCAATTACTAGATCCAATGTAACCTTCCGTCAGCCATACCATGATTGCAAGAAATTTATACTGACTGCAATTATCGGAAAACGATGTCTATAACTCTAATGCATCTCTTGGCACTACAAAATGTGATCACAAAGTTGTCATCATCAACATGCACGTGTATTTGGCTTTTTATCACTTCCCTTACGTGACACTATACATTTCATGGTTGAGTAATTTTGACCAGCGATTTTAGTGCACAGTAACCTAAATACACATCTGACCAATTTTCATAATTTTCGGCCACATAGTGAAATATTTTTCGCTATTATGCTATTATGCGTTTCTTTTTCCTTTCAGTATATATTGAAGATTATTATATTTATTTATCTAGTGACATTGAATTTGATAGAAAAAAGTTTTAGACCTTTATTTCTTGTAATGCATACCAGTCGACACATGTTTAATAAGACAAGCATTACATGTGATTGATTAACTAATGTGTATAAAAGTCTCCTTTTTTCAAATATAACATATGGAGATAATGAACAGTGTTCAACATTAAAAGTGAATAAAGCAATACAAAATAGGAGCAGAGCAAACACGGACCTCCAGAATATCAGAGAAGGGATCAGTTGCCATGGAGCAATGAGCATCCCCTGCCGACCGGTCACGCCCGTCTTATGCTCCTTGTCATGATCGGGAAATAACGGAAAAATCCTTCGTCAATTCAATGCATAAATAATGGACTAACAATAACTTGTCAATTAGTATGAAAAACGTCAGTCAGCATTTGATTCAATGATAAACAGTATTTGCTGACAAGATTATAGTATCGACCATAGAACTTACAAAATGATGCCTTTAAACAAGACTGTTGATATTCTTGTTTCATCTACTTGTTTGTCAATAATTTACCTCGTTTTTGAAATTGTTCATACTAAGAGCATGCTCTTCTGCATCGAATCAACTGAGATATATAAACTAGGCCTTTCAACTAATTTTTCAAGTTGCATATATGATAAAAAAAAAACATTGCATAGATAGGTTTATAGGTACATGAAAATATCAAAAACGATAATAACATGCATACTTTTAATTAAATCATTAAAAAATTTAATATTTCATAATTAACTTTTTTTACGATGTTGTGTTTTAAGGACAGGTAACTCAGGTGTGAAAAATGACCAACTTAATGCCGATTTATGAGTTATCGTTTATAGGAATGACATATAGGCTGCTTCCGCATTGGTATTGTTATGCACACAAAAGGGTTCCTTACATTGTTTTGTGCACAAAAGTGTTGACCAAAAGAAGTAGAATGCCTTCATTCTACCTGAAATAACAGGGTCGAATGAATGGAGAACAGACTATATTCAATATTTTTAACTCTCTTTGACGACTGTTGTGAAGTAGAAAATATAATGTCATGTTTTTTTGTGTTCGCGCTTTTTCGCTTCCTATATAAAAAAAACCCCCACATTTTTACAAGTAAATGCATCAATTCATTATCTTATTTGTGTTACTAAGCACAAGGGGAACGACCGAGTATAAGAATTTAATCAGGTTAGAACTAAGAAGGAGGGTAGATTTCACTTTTTATTTTAATTAAAAATTTTAAATATATGTTGTTAAACGGTATCTGCAAATACACAGTAAATAAGTTTAACATTGGAACTAAATTTTAAAACCACTGGATTCTACTGACAGCAAAGAAACACTTAGGAAATGCTAAAAACTGACTTGCATGTAAACATTTAGATACCTCGGGCCTGCTTTAAACAAGTTTCAGCAGTGAGTTATCGTTCATAAAAGCGAACCTAGCGGTACTTGAAAGGCCTATATACACTCCGAATGAAGGTGATGAAGTTATATTGCGGTATAAGTAAGGGAAGTTGACAATTGTGAAGTTATTGTCATCACGTTTATCACAGATCTTGGTTGTTATATTACCATTACCGCCTTTTTAAGTAAAATATCCGATTGAAATATGAAATAGATGTGTAAGACTCTGTAGTATCTTTTATCTCAACGGGATATATCGTATCGACATTTTGGATAACTTCTTAATATGAATACAAAAATACTGTAACCAACTTTTATTCGCGACGACTTTATTTCGCGATTTACCGAGGGTAAACTTGTTTGCGACGATTAATATTCGCGATCAAACCTTAATTGAATCAGTTGTAAATACAAAAGCGGGTTGTAAATACAGGACCGTTCGCAGCGAGAAATATTCGCGATGACCAAGCTCTCGCGAAAATTTCTCGCACGCCATAAAAAGTTGGTTTACAGTAGGCTTGCTAATAACGGGACGCATTTGGTACACATGGGAATTCCAATTGATTGTTGGAAGACCTGGTCTCCAAAAACCACATAGATATTGTCAATCAGAAACTCATCTTTTAAGTGTCAACTTCAAAGTACTTGTATGTATAATCAGTATGTTTTTTAACAAAATAATTCTGCAAATGACCAATGAAAAGGTAGGTAAATTTATGAGTTCCATTTTTTACTGAAAAAAGCAGCTGTCAATGACATCAAAAAGCCTGGACTTTAATTTATCTTGGGGAATGGTTGTGTATAAAGTTGAAAAGTCGGAAGTTCTTTATTCTCTTGATTTTGGTAACATCTTGTGATTTCAAATTGTCCAAAGGTTAATTGGAATTTTTAAGTATCCACATCCGATTTTCAACCCTTCTCGAATATATATTGCACAGTACTCCTGAAATTCTTCTTTACTACTGTTAATATCTTAGTGGGGAATAAAGAATGAGGCTTGGTTAAACATTTACTGGAACCCACTATGTACTAGTATCTTTGTAAGGATTCTTATGAAGTTTTGGAATCCAATACAGATAATTCATTTAGGTTTTATTGGATGTTAAAATTATTCAACTGATGGACACGCCTCTAGTGATGATGCTTCTCCCTGAATCTCCCAATTTTGGTCATAATGAAATTATCATAAAAAGTCCCGTAGTGACGTAAAAAAATAGCAGACCATATACACAGGGGTTATATTATGAAAAGCATTTATTTTTCAATGGCATACACAATCATACTGCAAGGCATTAATACACAAAAATTGCTGAATATCCATCTAGCTAACGCATAAGCAAATATACAAAATTAAAAAGTATTGCAAAATAAGTGGCATAGTACAACAATTGTGACTTCTACAGCGCCACTTCATGTTAATTATAAGTCAACGGTAGCGAGCAAACCCCGTTGTATGATTAACACAAATAATAGGCAATTTAACCCTCACTATGATACACCCATTTTTGGTGGATATCACCAATTGATGCGTCCTTTAATGCTTGAATTCAAATACTTTTTACATAGTCCATGACATAACTTAATTAGATCTGTGATCTTCATATTTCTTCTTTTTTTTCAAATTTTTTAAATTATTAATAAGATAATCAAATGATGAAAAAAAAAATGTCGGTTCAGAACACAGGTTCTTATACGATTTTATCAGACTTTTAAAAACGTTTATGGTTCAAAATTAAAATATCAAAAGTTGAAATTTTTATTGGATAACTTCCAGGTATGTTCCATCAAGCCCAGTCCCTCTATCATGGGCCATCTTACATTATATAAAATAACTAAAAATGTTCTTTAAAAAATGTTTTTTTTTCTTTTTCCAATTTTTGTCAAATGGTACGTACGGAGCAAATATTTATTCAATGACAAGAAAAATTTATTTATTATTAGTATTCTTCAATGATACTTATTCACAATATTTAAACATTACGATTTCTTTATTTTATTTTTTTCTTCAAGGCACCATAATTTTGGAGTCTTTTATTTTTACAAATTCCAAAATAGAAAATTAAAAATCTGATTATTTTTAAAATATGCATAATCAGATAACTGCAATAAATAACTCTTTTATATTTTTTTATATTTATTTTGGATTGATCTTTTACAAGGCATACAATATAATTCAGAAGCAACCTGCATCACCTCTTTTTAACCTACCTGTGTAAATTTAGAAATACGGAGTTTTTCAAGTCCCTTACCCCGGGAAAACACAAAGCAATTTTTCTTTTAAAAATCCTTAATACGTAACATATTTTGGACATTAGAGGAAAAAACAGTGAATTTGCATTTAGATTTAGCAAAATCGATTTCCAGGTCCTTTTTTTTTTTTTTTTTTGCAGAGAGGATCTCTAGCTCCTCTTTAGAATAGTTCTTTTATACTCCCCATTTCTACTGTATGATGCAGACGATTTTCTACTGAGTTTATGTTAAAGACATGGACATAATATCCTACACTTGGTTAAAAAAAATATTTCTCTATAATTGATGATTTGATGCTTTCGGTAAAAATTGAGGGTTAGCTAAGATAAGCATCATAGCAAGCAGTTTTATATATACATTGATAAAAGAAATGGTTGCTTTGCATACTTGTAATACAAATACATGTATAAACTACATGTATTACAAAATTGTAAGTTACATGTATAAACACATATACAATATGTACTACAACTTCTAACATAAAAAAAGAACTAAATATGTACATGTAGTTATATGTATGCTAGCTCTCAATTCTTGCAGAAATTTAATATTACAAAAATAATTATAAGTCAACAGTAATAGCATATTGGCTAATAAAACTTGAATGAAAAGAAAATTTGATTAGTCATTGATTAATAATTCAAGGGGGTCAACTGATGTTTCCACTGTGCAATACTTTACCTTCAGAGTAAAATGATTGACAAAATACAATTTTTAGTTATATTCTCAATTAAATAAGTAATAAAAAACTTTTTTGCTGAATATTTGTCTGTAAAAAAATAATTCTTCGGTGAAACAACAAAAGCATTGTCAGGGATTTGTAAAATGATAATTAATTAACTTAATATAAAAATACACTGTATGTAGATTATTATATATCACCTGTAAAAAGGCATTTGTATTATACAAAGCTAGGGCACAGATGTATTTAAAATACTTTCCAAATCACTTGATTTCTAGAAGTAAAAATTTGAGTTTTTTATGAAATTTATTTAATTATATTCCAAATAAATTTTAAACAATGTGAAAATACATTAAAACATCAATATAAATACTATCCTCATTAAAATATACATGTATTACGCACTGAAAACTGACTTGAAGGCAGGCAGAGAAAAAAATGCTATCATCCACTGTTCTAAAGAATATTATGCACTAAAATCTTCACTTACTACATCATAATCTTACAATGTACTAGCACAACAAATAGATGTAAAATCTTGAATTACATGTACAATCTTATTCAGCAGTTTCATTCTAACAAATGTGAGCAATCAAAACACAACTATGAGTTTTCAGTTACACATGAAATACTCAATTCATATACACAGTGTAGCAGATTACACCAGAGACGAGTGTACAATTATGTCACTCACTATACAGAAAGTTGTTAAGATGTAAGACTAGGCTTCCCACTTTTCTTCGTTTTAATCTTTAATGTAAACACCTAGTTCATCTTTTATAGTTGACATGCATGCATGCAATTTTACTTTATAGCTAGCTGTTGACACAATCTACAGAAACTATTCCACCTGGGTCCAAATCAGTATTTAAAAATATTATAATGACATGTTCCACATTTGTGTGACCATGTAGCCAAACACCTGACAAGGAGATGTTTTAAGTAAAAGTTTATATGTTAAAACCAGCACTAGTGATGCTGCCTTCACAAAATCATCATTTGTTCAGATGTGCTTTCTGGAATGAAACTGTCAACATGCTGCAAAGGATGTTCTACTTAACGATGCTCTTAGTATATTCTCTTTGTAGTCAGAAAGTATACATACAATACATATATTAATGTACAACTGTAGGTATGCTTTATTATAATATTAATGTTACAAATTTTAACTTGTTAAACTTTTTTTCTGATCTCCCACACATAAGTAAACATGGTACACAAAACTACAATTTATTGTAACATTACATCTATGTCATTAAATTCAGCTGAAAAGATGCCTTTGTGAGACACAATGTTCACTTGAGTTACCTGTTTTTCCCCTTCTTTGTGAGGCTATAATATAATGAGAACACATACTTTTTAATCCATGACTTGTCAAGGACCAGTAGATATTGGTGATTGTCTCATGAATTACTCTCCATTATCATTTTTAAAAAAATCCCAAAAAAAAAAAGATCCCCTTCTGTGAAAACTTCTATGATAACCTGTGCAAAGCTTGTTACAAACCCAAAGTTGTTCTGGGAATCATCCATAATGAGGAATCTTACAGATATCCTTGATCATCAATCTGTTTGGTTCTTATTTCCTAGTTTCAGGGTTTTCAGTGTTGACAAACACTTGAGTGTTTTGCTTAGGCAATAAAATGATTACTCTTATTTATGCATAAAACAAAAAAAAATATCAACACTTGCAAAATAATTCTACAACTTTGTTTTCCAACAAATGAAGGAAAAATATAAAAACAAAAGAAAAACACCTCTTATACTCAAGAGAACCATGGACCACAAAACTCACCTGAGCCACCTTTTTATAAAATATTTATTATTACTACTAATTGTTAAATGCTATTCTTGTAAAGGATTATTCAAAAGTATTTCCCTATATATTTTAAGTTAATACCCAATCCCCTTTTGTTGCCTCACCCTAACACTGGGAGCCATTCAATTTTGAATTTAGTCTCATTAAGTTTTAAAATTGGTTCTGGAGAATTTGAAATCTGAAAATTTACACATGACATATGGCAGATAAAAGCTTGACACCCTTCAATCAAAAATGCTGAACTGAGTCTTTGACTCAGGTGAGTTACTAAAAAAGCCAAGGCTCCATTTCAAAATTGCTGTCATAAGAAGCACAACATTAAAAATCAAAATCAAACTAACAAAATGAAACATAAACATATACTGACATATGGTATAAAATAGTGACAACTGAGATAAAATCAGAGTTTGTTACAAAACAAGGAAATTCACATACATCTGAGACTATTTTTAAGAATCAACAGTTCTAATCATTGCTTTTTTTCATATCCTTTAAACATCTCCATTTCCTTCTAGCATGACTTGAGCTTCACCTGAAAAGAAAATAACAGCAAAAAAAATCCTGTATTCGATGAAAGCATTCATTACCTTCATCAATTAACAAACAAGACACAAATTAACTTGGAAAATGAATTCCACAACTTGGTTTCCTATTTATGAGCAAAAGATGTCTGTGAGGATGTACATATAAGTAGTACCTCAAAATTTCAGCAACTTTAAATGTATGTTCATGTGAGTTCCCAGGGGCAACATGGACAAGCATGCAAGTTTGGTCCTTTTTGGATTTATATTACATGTAACTTGGAAAACGATTTTCTAGAAAATTTAACCATATCACTGAATAACATTTAAAAAACAAGTTTTTATGGGAAATTAAAGGGAAAATACTTACTACATGTACAAAGAATTGCAGATGGGGAAAGAAAAACAGATTGACCTTTGTCATTCAGCTTTTGATCTTAAAGGTGTCTTTTATGTTAAAGAACAAATTATTTCCTTAACGTGAACATACATGTATTGACAAATGGTGTTAAATTTCATTGATAAATCCTAAAGATCATAAATGATATCAATCAAGGAATAAAATTCATAATATGTAAGGGTGCCAATTAGTGTCCATTTTGATACCCATCATGACTTGCGCTTTAAACAGCAATCATGTTATTTGATGATATCGAGGGTAAATACGGCGGAAAATATAACCGAATCTCACTTTAATAGTGATATACCACTATTACAGCAGAATTTACGTTTCCCCCAACCTGTTTAATCATATTTGCTTGGGTCAAAACATGCAGTACACCTTATTAACTAAGATATCAACATGGTGTCACTTTCCTTAAATCAAATGTTTTGCTAGTACATCTACTTCTTTTTTGATAATCAACACAGTATATTGAATACATGTATTCATAAAGAAGTCATGATTGTCCAGTATATTCATATAAAAGTCATGTGTCCATGAACTTAATCTTTTTTATGTGTAAGTGTCACAATTAACGTCCAAACATTGTTCCATATACGAGGGTTGTTCGAAAAGTTCATGGACAACTGTCATATCTTTTTTATTTGACGTCAAATGTTATCCAAATTTGGTAGAAATATTTTTACAATAAATCCAAATGATTTGTATTAATTTTTTTTCCAAATATTACGATTTATTCAACACTTATCCTTAAAATGCAAAATTCAGATGGCAGAGCAGGTCAGAATTTAGTAAGTTACAGACAATACACAATTTAATGTCTGTAGTCGAATTTTCTGTAAAATGGGGCAAAAACAAAAACAACCCAGAAATTCAAATTAAGAATTGTTACAATGATTTGTATACCAAATAATGGCTTTATATTTTGCTTTGTTGAAAAGAAATCAACTTGAGAAGATAGGTAGTTCTTATTGAAAACGACAAAAACGAAGACGTTTTAGAATGTCACGGAGCAGCAGACAATGATGCAATTTGGTGTTTTACTCAGGAAATTCCCTTAATAAACTCTAAAATTGTTGGATGAATCAAGAAAATATGTCACAAGAGAGTTGTGCATAAGTGTACAAATAGTACAAGCATTTTTTCGGTGACAGAGACTCTGTATCGGATGAGAACAATCTGTGGAGCTACGATTTAACTGTAAAAATATGAACAAAAACTTGAAAAAGTTAGAGCATCAAAGAAAGACATGTGCGCTTCAGAGTTGTATATCCTGTGAAAGCAGAGTTAAGTAATAAAATATAGTAAAACCTTAGCAACGGAAATTATACAACGAGAGCAATTTTTAAAAAATGAATGTTAAGTACATTGTATTAGAACAAGGATCCAATGAGTGGGTATTGGATTATACTGTGTGAAATGTATAGGGATAGTATTTTTTTGTAATTCTTGATGCTATGTTTTGACGTTACATTGCCGTTAGGTGTGCTCGGCGCGTACAAAACATGTTGATTTTAAAATGAAGTAAATGATTTCCGTTAAATTGAATGATACAGTGGACCTTCAGATATCCAGACTCCAGATATCCGGATGCTTCAGTATCCGGACGATTTTTCATCGGGACGGAATTTTTAAATCTTATATTGTTTTGTTTAACCGGTGATTCAGGTAACCGGACGCTTCAAATATCCAGACAAATTGACTAAGAATCAAAGCGTCCGGATAAATGAGGATCCACTTATATGAAACTTCACACATCAACAAAACAAATATTTTTGCATATTATATTGTGCTTAGTTAAAAAAATTCTAGTGAGTAATATAACAAAGATTGACATCATCCACGAACTTTTCGAACAACCCTCGTTATGTAACTTATTTAAATGCCCTAACTGTGTTCCATAATATTTTATCTGTTCAGTAGAATTTACTTGGCGGGGTTTTAAATTCCGTGCTGTTATGTGGTCAGTTTGGGTGTAGCAATTGAGTAGAGTAGACATATTATCGTTTTACTAACAGCGTAACAGTTTGCTTGATAGGGCGTCTAAAATTTCGCATGTTGATTATCATTTTACTCATCGATTGGATGTTTGATTTCAATGGAATCAATAATATTTTGCATATGAAACACAGAACACAGCAATGCCACTGACGAAACTGACCAATCGCATTAAATAAACATCAATTACTTGTGAACGTACAAATTAAAGCAAGTTTTACTTCTATGATGATGATATTGATAGCTACATAGTACAACAGTAGCAGAGTAGCCTTACTAATTCCATTCTTTAAACTTTCTTATACGTATTTAAAAACCCATCCGGTCAAATCATAACAAATATAAAACATGCTTTTTGGGGGACAGAAAGGGCTTTGACTGACCGCGTGTTGCTCCTCACTACAAATGTAAACATTCAATGTGATTGGCCAGTATTATTGGGGTATTGTTGTATTCCGAGTTTCATATGCAAATTATTATTGATTTCATTGATCCAATCAATGAGTAAAATGATAACCAGCACACAAAATCTAAGCACGCCCCAACAAGCAAACTGTCACGTTGTTTGTAAAATGATAATATTTCACTTGCTTGAGTATTTCAGTAGTATTCTTCATAAAGTATATTTGACCAGACTTTGCATCTCTTCTGAGTGTGGCGACCAATCGGCCCGCCTGCAACAGTACGTAACTAATGAAATTACATCCTAATATACCAGAATTTTTTTCTTTACCTTAAAAACATTGCCACAGTATCCATATGGGTAGTAATGTTCTGTATCAGTAACACCTTACAAAAAAAAAATCTTACCTTTTTTATCCTCTGGGTTTTCCTCCTTTTTATCTAATAAATAAAAAACTCCACAGTTATAAATAATTTTAAAATATTACACAGGTTATCTTAAGCATATACTCATGTCAAATGCATAAAGTATATCAGGAAATTGTAAGTAAACTCTGAACAAAAAGCCCATGGACCATATCATTGCTCATCTGAGCACTTTGATTAGAGTAAAATGATCAGGTCAGATTTAAATGAGATTCAGACCTGCAATGGGTACGTGACATAAATGCACAATTTGGTGAAAATCTTATTAAACCATTATGTCTGCATTTTTAGAGTCTAATGCTTAATGTCCTAGTTTAGACACAAGTAAAAATAAATGTGATTATAGTTATCACTTACCCTCATTTTATTAATTGAAACTAAAAATAGAATTGTAGATATAATTATCATCAATTCTACTTAGTTAGTATCAATGCATTCTTTTGTTTAATTCTAAGTAAAATTATTCTCTCCAATACTACTTTCAAACTTCTGTGTACTCAGTCATGTGTTCCGTCTTTGATTCAGATCTAATCTAAGATTTAAAAAAAAAATACTACAGTGAAACTTGTCTAATATGAATGTTATGTATACTGAAATCTTGCATTATTATGATGTAAACTTCAAGTACAATGTACTTTCAGTAAACTCAACTGTTTCAAATGTTATTTAATCTGGAATGTTGTCCAATTTGCCATTTTCCTCGGAACCAGTGGTGTTTGGATAATACATTAGTTTCACCCTGATTAAATAATTTAAGTCAAAATTATATAAAATCAATGTTGCAGTTTTAATTCAGCTTATCCGCAAACTGAGAATCATTTGGATAAGTGATAGGCGCTTGGCTCAAGGATACTGACAGTATATTTTCTATTTAATGTATACTCGAGGAAATTCAAACTATACTTGTAATATTTTTTGTTCAGTGAGCAGTGTTAATTCTTAGTTTTTGTAAATCTTTCTGCTTCATATACACTAGAATGTCACGAAAATTCGATTTTATGCACCTTTTACAATGACATATTCCTCTGTATTCTTTTTAGTAAGAAGGATATGGAGATAACGAACAGTATTCAATCTCAAAGTCCATATTTAGTCAACAGTGGGATATGTCATTTTCAAAGTGTGCATAACATCAAATTTCAGTGACAATATAGTGTATATGAAGCAGAAAGGTTTACAAAAAAAACTAAAAAGTAACACTGTGCAATGAAAAAATGTTACGAGACTAAGTATAGTCTGAATTTCCATGACAATACCTTATATAAAAAATATAAAGTATCCTTGACCCAAGTGCCTTTGGGATAAGTACAGCATTTGTGTAAGTACAGCATATGGATTTATATGCATAAATTTCAAGACAAACATGATAAATTTCAGATGTTAAAAGGAAGCTAACTCCTTTATCAATTATAACTCTCGACTCTTTATCCTTTTGTGTGACTTGTTTTGGCATATCCTCTTAGAAAAACAACACATGTTAAAGTTGATCAATATTTTAATTAATGATGCCATTTTTTTTTTACGAGTAGTTAAAATTCTAGCATTAAATTTATTTCAGTCAAGCTTACCAGTATATTTATTATATCATAGTTTATTAAAGCTACAGTTTATGAATTTTGTCTGCCATATTTGATAAGCCACTCGTTTTGTCTGAGGACCCCTATATAAACAGCTCAATTAGTTAGTTTAAGTGGTATTTATGTTTTTATAGTTGTCTGGATTGTTCGCTGTTCTCAGGGTAGTTCAGACAGCTAAGTTCACATAGGTTAATCTTGTGAAGGTATGTCACTCGACAGCTTTTTAGAAAAGTTCAAGCAGATCCTCTTGCTTCAAAACTATTTATTAAAAATCAATTTTTATAACATATTTAAATTCAACAATATTGATGTTTTAACATTCAACGAAAAAACTGCTCAAAAAGCTACAAAGAAGCAAAATTCATGAGGGACTCTTTCTTATGGTGGAAGGATATTAAGCAGATAATTCTGCAAATGTGCACATTTATTAAATTTAATATCTTAGTCATCTGAATATGATGTGCCATTATCACAAATTTCACTTGAAAGTATACACTCCGACCAAAATACCATAGCCTTGAGTGATGACACTGTTGGATTTCACAATTGAACAATTTGAATCATTCATTTTATAAAACAAGCGTTTTAATTGGTTTGTTAAGACGGTATCCTTTGCCTGTATAAGTTGGAAAGCGTCCAACGGTCTAGCGAATAGCCATATTTGATTGTCGAAATGCGTTTTTGACTTTTTTGAACCAAAAGAAAAAAACGAAGAAAGAAAATATAAAATCATTTTTCAGCATGTGATATATGTATTTATCAATGTTGCTAATAACACGTGTTCGTGTTTATTTATATCTGTAATCTATTGGCTGTAATGCTGGTCACCTTGTTAGCTGGAGCTCGTTTCTCAAAAAGTCGTAGATTTGGGCATAAGTTAGTCCGACTAAAAAAGTTACGCCAAAATTTAGACGGGCCTAAATCGCGTTTCAGAAAGCGGCGTAAGACTGGGCCTAATACTAAGACCTCTCCACTAGGTGCTAAGCATGCACAGATCACATTTTATTTGGTTTAGAGACTACGATGACATGTGGCGGATCAAATTAATATTACACTTGAACCTAAATAAAGCATATAAAGCACAGGAAACACGAGCACACTTGCATGTTTTCCCATTTCACCGTCTTTCAAACAGATCTATTACGCAAACCCTGTATTTTCAAGTTCAAAGCATTAACATAGTAGCGGATTCAGAAATCTTGAAAAGTCGGACAGATTGGGGTCGGGTTAGGCGCCCACAGCCACACTAAACAAAACTGAGTAAATCTTTTATTATAATTTTGGATGCACAGCCTCCCTCTCTTCATCTACAAATGTTTTATTAGATATCTACATTAAAACCAAATGATGGAGGACATACATGATTATACATACATGTACTTGCGAAAATTTGGAATAAAAAGTAATTTTCCTATGAGTAAAAGCCATATATGGCTGGGGGCTGGAACAGGCTCGTAGCTAAAGTTTTGAAAGTCGGGGAAAAGGGGGGGGGGCAACCAGTATCTAAAGGATTTTTTTCTGTATCTAAAATACTTTACGCAGATAGAGAGTGAAAGGACAGAGCCCCCGACCAACAGGCGTGCTGTCAAAAATTTATCAGTTATGAAATCATAATTATCATAAAATTAAAACATGGATAAGAGATTTTTTTTAAATGATTAGTTGTCTTAAAGACCTATATATGGTTTTCCTTGGCTCCCGTTTTTGGTAAAATTTAGACGTCAATGAACCTCAATGAAATTTATGTTTTTTGAAAGGATAAAATTTATATATTTCTTTTATCTTTATATTGATTTAAGTAATATGCAGAGAATTAAAGGTTTCAAGTGCCTTAGTTTTAAACAAAACTTCAAAAAATGACAATTTTCACACAGTAAGCGACGATTTGATATACATGCGACGCCTTGAACAAGAAAGAAATTTACACATGTAAAACATTTTCTGAATGGGGGCCTAAAATGGCCCATAACATATATAATTCCTAATAATTTCATAAAAATTACTAGATTTTTTGCCTGCAATATGGTTCACAAGAATTCGATTTAAAACTATTAAGCTTTTGCATGCCATTAAGAAAAAACGATTAACCCATCTACACTTCTCACCTGTCGACAATGAGTGAACAGTCTTATGAACAGAGTATAATACTAAACATTTTACAAATTCAAATTTTTATGTTTTAATATTATTATATTTAAAGACATGCAATTAAAGGGGAGAATTAAAGAAGCATTGACTTGTTTAATGGCATTGTTACCGAATATTTCTCATTATCTAAAATAATTTTTTAAAAATGAATATTGTTTGAGGTTTTATTGAAACATTATTCATTAAAAAATTATCCGGGACCTGGCATCGTTTTTAACAAGAGGCCCATGGGCCACAACGCTCACCTGAGAAGCTTTGACCATTTTGTTCTTTACCAGATTTCCCCCTTGTTATACATAATGCATCCCCACCCTACCCCACTGATCATAATTTAGACATTTTGAAATCTACACTACCCCATGATCCTTCCATGGGCACATATGTTTCAGCTTTTTTGGCCCAGTGGTTCCTGAGAAGAAG